AGTATATTGACTCTGATGGTAACTCCTTGTGATCAATTGCTGTTTTGGCTGCCCCTGGGGGCCCCGACATGAGCCGGTTTGCTCTCTACTGAGCGGTGTGAACTACTTATCCTTGCTGTGGGACGTTTAAAAACAATAACAACTAACATGAGCTTTTGAGGTTAATTACCGACTGGCGGTACAAATTTGTACTAGCAATTTGTATTATATCGCAGTTAAATGACCGTATACCGCCCTTGATAAAGTACAGAGATATACTATAAAGTATCTGATTATCTAAAATGTGAAACATAATTATCTCCATCTTAGCTCTTTATTACCTATACACAAAGGAGTTTCTACATAATATTATTTCTCCATTCGGACTAGACGATAGAACGTTTATTGCCAAGATATTGAATATAAACTTTTTATTAATACTTCAAAAACGAATACAGTCTATTGTATCAGTTTACAGGTAGTTCGAGATACTCGTATATCTGTAGAATCTCTATTTTGAAAAATATCAAGTTTATTCGGTAATTCATCTACAATGTGTATTTTAGAGTCATCGTTGTCGGAACTCAATGCACCGGTAAAAATTTTAGTGACGCTATAGCTTCTCCAACACAAATGTTGACATTCAGTTCCTTCGGGATTTATGAACCAATAAATAGTTTTAAACCTCATGTACTCAAATGAAGGATTGTTGAATTCAATCGTAAAAAGATTATTATCCGTTTTCTGTATCACAATTGGTCTAATAGTTTCCTTTCTATTAAATATTATTACAGTATTTTAGAAGCAGTTTTCGTATTATGTTTTATTAGTATTGGTTCTATAAATATGGAAATTATAATTTTTGAAATTACTTTATTTTCCTAAACCTGTTTTTCGTTCATATCCATACTACTTTTTCCTTTAAATTTTTTTCTACTACATTTCCTACATCACTCCAAATGCAATGGATCCTAAACACAAGAGTTTGTATCCTTCATGGGTCCTTTACTTCAAATCTTTGGAATACAGTTTACTTTAATTCTTTTTCTTTTAAGTACTAATTGAGATTTTCCCCTCTTCTTTATCTTTAAAATTTTCATAATTTAAAATCTGTTCGATATATTATATTTTCTCAAAACTGCTTTCATTTCATTTCTGATTCCTAAGACAAATTAAATACATTTACTGGAGTATACACAAGAATCAGTTCAAATTACTACAAAATTCCACTTTTTAACTTCAAAGCGCTTTAGCTTTTCCTTTTGGAAACGGCGTATTTCCTATTCCAGATAATTACAATGCTCGCCTACGGTTTGCTTTGTAAACAAAAGCACGAGATCATTTTTAAGCAACACATTGCTTGTGCCGATCAATTTTCTAGACATGATACGAAAAGGAAGCAAAATTCAAGCGTCTACAATATAAAGCCCAAAGCGGAAATATGTGAAACGTTTTAGCTGTTTAGCCGGTTTCTTTCAATTAAATATTATTACTCAATTTTTCCTCGCTTCCGAATCTGGGACTGTCAGTGATGGAACTAGAGGATGGAATAAAGGCAACAATATAGTTTAAATATTTTTTCTACGAGAAATGAATATAATCTAGATAAATTTAACTGTCCAAAAGAAATTTAAAACAGTTAAAAATCTAGAAAAATATTAAAACATTAAAAATTCTTTAATATGTATAACTGACTAATAGTTGGGGAGCAAATGACTCTTTTTAATACAAGGAAAATTAAAAATGTTTAGTTCATTCTCGTTTTGTAGAAGATGGAAATACTTTGCTGCAGATGCACTAGCTATGGAACGCTCGACGAAGACGTCTTAAAAAGTTATATATTTGATTAGATAATTAACTTATTAGCTCATGTCATAAGCACTTAACTTTGGATTTGGCTACTCGAGTTAAAATGCCTGTAAAAATCAATCTTTTTTAATTTTTTAATTTTGAAGAAAATATGAAAAATTAAAAAATATAACTATTGTATTTTTGGAGAATATCTTGCCGAGTTGGTTTTGATCTAAGTTCATGGGGTCTAGGTCCTTGATAGGGAAAAAATGATAGGCTAGTTCAGTTAGACGTATCTCGAGTTTGTTTAGTCACTAAAACTGGTAGAAGATCTTGATGTATGAGTTACTTTGCACCTACTATGGGGCGTTGCATATTTGTCGGATTACTTTGGATTGGAAGCATTAAATCTTCCTGTACATGTACAAGTAGATCTCAAAATAGTCTTATAGATAAGGCGGTTGTGATCTAAGCTAAGTTTTGATTTGTGTTTCATTAACCAATACATTTACTGTATGTATTTTGGTCCATATATGCTTGCCCTTATTTAGGTGACTGACAAGATGAATATTTTATCCTCAGTAATTCATTATTCATGCTTACATTCATGCTTACATTTTATTTATTTAATGTAATTGTAATATTTGCGATGAATCAATGCTATTCACTTTTACTTTCCATAACTTGAACCATATTCTTAGCTTATTTAATTGATTTAGTAACATTTGGGATGCTACTATTGGATCACCATAAGCTGTCAGTATAACAGCATCATTGGTGTATTTTTCTATAGTCATATTAGCTATAAGCATGTCTACTATGTACAATAAATATAACGTGGGCCCGAGATTACTGCCCTGGGGTACATAGGAATGGATATGGGGAATATGGAGCACTAAGCTACGTCATGTTTAACTTAAAAAATATGTCGGAGAGAGATGACTAAAGAATTTATATTATATTAAAATTGTCAATATTATTGATATTATTAATATTATTATTTATATTAATATTTTTAATATCAATAATATAAATAATTTCATTAATAATATTATCATTAATATCATTAATATCGTTAATATCGTTAATATAATTAATATCATTGATATCATTTTTATCATTAATATCATTAATATCATTAATATCATTAATATCATTAATATCATTAATATCAATAATATCATTAATATCATTAATATCATTAATATCATTAATATCATTAATATCATTAATATCATTAATATCATTAATATCATTAATATCATTAATATCATTAATATCATTAATATCATTAATATCATTAATATCATTAATATCATTAATATCATTAATATCATTAATATCATTAATATCATTAATATCATTAATATCATTAATATCATTAATATCATTAATATCATTAATATCATTAATATCATTAATATCATTAATATCATTAATATCATTAATATCATTAATATCATTAATATCATTAATATCATTAATATCATTAATATCATTAATATCATTAATATCATTAATATCATTAATATCATTAATATCATTAATATCATTAATATCATTAATATCATTAATATCATTAATATCATTAATATCATTAATATCATTAATATCATTAATATCATTAATATCATTAATATCATTAATATCATTAATATCATTAATATCATTAATATCATTAATATCATTAATATCATTAATATCATTAATATCATTAATATCATTAATATCATTAATATCATTAATATCATTAATATCATTAATATCATTAATATCATTAATATCATTAATATCATTAATATCATTAATATCATTAATATCATTAATATCATTAATATCATTAATATCATTAATATCATTAATATCATTAATATCATTAATATCATTAATATCATTAATATCATTAATATCATTAATATCATTAATATCATTAATATCATTAATATCATTAATATCATTAATATCATTAATATCATTAATATCATTAATATCATTAATATCATTAATATCATTAATATCATTAATATCATTAATATCATTAATATCATTAATATCATTAATATCATTAATATCATTAATATCATTAATATCATTAATATCATTAATATCATTAATATCATTAATATCATTAATATCATTAATATCATTAATATCATTAATATCATTAATATCATTAATATCATTAATATCATTAATATCATTAATATCATTAATATCATTAATATCATTAATATCATTAATATCATTAATATCATTAATATCATTAATATATCATTATTATTATTATATTAATAACATTATTATATCGTTAGCTTAATACCTTCGCTATTTAATAAGGAGAAAAACATTGAAAATTCCCTAGCGGAAATTTAGAAAGGAAATTGAATTTCCAGTACATACATTTGGAATTTAATTTAGTTATAAAATATTTTTTTATTTTTAAATTAATTACCCGTTCGGGTACGCCCTTGGACGCCGACTAAAAAAGATCAGTGTGAAATAACACATTTTATAACAAAAATAACACTGGCCGTTCCGTTTTTATCAGTGATATATGGCATTGACGAATCGCAACAATTTGGCTGCTGGAAATATTGCAAGGGATTTAGTACATTTTATATTATTAGAGTTTATTTGACTGACAACTTTATTTTATTACTTTCTTTTTTGCCAGCCAGATTCCTGCACTAGATTCTGCTGAAATATTCGTGTAAAAAAACGTTTTAAAGAAATAAGTAAGGAAGATTTATAGAATAAAATCAGTTTTAAAATATTTTGGAATAAGGAAATTGTTGTACAATAATAAATTACGAAAATTACATTAAAATCATTAAAATATTTTTAGAATTATCTATTGTGGGCAAATATATACGAGTATTTTTGAAGTAGTGTTAGTGGTGTTTAATGTAGTGGTGGATCGTGACCAAATTATTGGGTTCACAATGACATAATATAGATCGCAGTAAAGATTTAGGTAAATAATTTGCAGAGTCTATAATATTGCTATATTCTGTCATTGTAAACCCCAATATTTTGGCCACGAGCCGCTACTAGTTTAATAGTTGGATAGATCTTTAGATAGAGCTTTCAAATGATGAATCGCATGAACCACATTCCTATTTAAAAAATAATCAATGACGTTATCACGTTCACACCGATGACGTCACAAATAAAAGGAATATCTTCCTGTTTTTTTATGATTAAACTAATTGTATTTTCTTATATTTCAGAGCATTTGGAACTTTAAAAATAACTTGGAAATAACGACTCCGTACAAGACAATAAAAACAATTTTGTCAGAGTTTGAAGTAGACGTTGAATCTGGACGTAAATATATTTTTGGACTAACGCTTGACTACGTTAATCAAACAAAATTAATTGAGGTAAGCTGAATGGAAGCAACAACCGTAATGCATGTTAAAATTTGGTTGAATGGGTTAATAATAATGCAGAGGTATCAGAATTATGTTTTAGGCGAGGGTTAACAATTTCTAATTGAAATAATAGCGCTATTTCGAAACTTTGAAGAGTTATAACTATTGTAAATTGTTTTAATTACTTATGTACTTAATATTTAGGATATTCTTGCATTATAAGTTGAAATAAAGAATCAAAAGTCACAATTTATAGGTTTTAAAGCCTGTTTATTGAATACATTTTTGCGGTACAAATGAACTAATATAATATTAATTATGACAAGTTAAAATTGAACATAAATTTACGAAATTCGTAATAGAATTATCATCACGAGGGTTTATGTTGAAAAATGAGACCCATAATGTATTTTGTGTACGATATCACAAACTGATGCCTTGTTTTTCCTTCCCGAGCGACGCCGATGATTGTTAAACTATAGGGTCGAATGGAGCAATACAAATATAGAGTTTTCATTTGTTCTAGTTTTATCTCGATGAAAGATTTATTCACGCGGAAGTTTTGATTATAAATACATGAAAGTTTATGTTTTAATGTTTATAATCGAACGAATTTCCTATATAGTTTATTGGAAAATTTGATTTAAAATTCATATTTTTGTTTCTATGAGTTATATATTATTTGTTCTGACACCTCTTTATTTGGAAACCGGTCAAATGAGGACTAAAAATGTTTTAATTTTTTTAACATATTTTTTGTATGAATTGGTTTTGCCGTAATATATATTTTAGCACATATTGTCAGTATCACACTTCACTGGATCGCAAAAGTTCGATTTTATCAATTAGAAAATTAAAATAAAATTTTGAAAAAGTGGCTCCACATCTTTCTACATATTGTTTTTTTTTTCACTCGATTTTGTATTAGTATTTATTAGAAAAAGTTGACCTCCTGGCGACGCCACTGATATCTCCTGATGTCTACTTAAAAGAGATATTATTTGCCAAAAACATTCATAAAAACTTTGAAACAAACCTCATTTTACTGCATTTCCTATGCACGCCTGTGAATTGCATTGTATAAAGTTATTTTACTATAAGAATTTTTTAATGGAAAAATTTAGTAAGTAGTTATTTTTCTTTGTTGTCAGACGTTTTATATAAAAATCTTTTTTAGACGGGACTCTACACCAAATATCTAGTGGAATGGAGGAACGAAGAAGAAAGGACATATAACGTAACTCTAAAAGTTAATACCCCATTTAAAGCTTTGCCAAAGTTGAACTTGTTTGGTGCTTTTGAGACTGAGGAGAATTTTTATCACACAAAGCTATTATTCAACACAAATAGAAGTAATATATCAGTGGACGCCACTACCGAGGTAAATATGTTAAGTTTCGCAGGAGGTATGCTTTTCAATTTCAACTCGGACAACCCAATTTAAGAAAGAACACTTGTGTCTTTGGTTCAGAGGCGTAGTGTGTCAGTGGCTCGGCTACCAATTGACCGACGTAAACAACAACAATTTAAAGTTATAATTAGTACCGTAGATAACACATTTTACTGGAAAAATAGTGAATTTATAAACACTAAATTTAGAATAATTTGAAAATTTTAAAGATATTCCCCTGCGAATTATTAAGAACATCCTCGGACCCCAAAGGTGAAAACAAATAATCGGAAATTTGAAAAAAATCCTGTCGCAGCCGGGGATCGAACCCAGATATTCATGTTAGCTAGACATGCGCCCTTTCTTCTAAACCACGGCATTGACTGTGAAGATTTTTATACAGAAATTTGATGCATAGTTTTGGCCAGACGGCGTTTAAGCTCGTTCTTAAATCTTCAAATACCTCTCTACAGCAAAGTTTTATATGAGAAAGATTTGAGAACCGTCTGGGCCGAACTAGCAAATCAAATTTCTGTCTAGGAATCTCGACAGTCGATGTCATCGATGTTCTAGAGGAAAGGGCAGGTGTATAGCAAACAAGAATGTCTGGGTTCGATCACCGGCTGCTTTTTTTAAATATTCAAGCATTTGTTTTCACCTTTGGGGTTCGGAGATGGTCCTAATAATTCGTAGGGGAATTTTTGAGATTTGTTAACGAATTTTAAAATTATTCAGCCACTTATTTCAGCAATTTCTTTTCGGATTTTGAAATTTCGATAAATAAATTTACAAGTTTCGGTAAATTTAGATATTTCCGATTTTAACATTTCTAGAAAAAACAACACTAATAAAAAAATTATTATTTTCAATATTATTTAAAAATTAATAATAATAATAGGAGGGGGGGTTGGCTCAGTGGTTAGAGTCATAACTATCACACCTCTAATAAAATTATTCATGGATAGGAAACTTTTGGTTTTTCTTTTAGTCTGTCTAATGTAATGTGAGCCATTTCATTATTCAGTCATGCTCTAATCCTCCAAGTCCCTCTCTGTCTTATTTGGCCTTTGAGGCTCAACTTGTCGGGGGGTTTCAATTTATTTGAATTATTACTGGTTAATTTGCAGTTAAATTTTATTTGCAAATATTTGTTTATAGGATTTTCATTCAAATAAATTGTAATTGATAGTTTCAATTTATTTGAATTATGAGTGGTTAATATCATACATAATTAAACCCCTTAAGACCAAACATATGTGACGACTATGACGGAGCAGCTGTCGATTACTATTCAAGAAAGAACGGGATAATGTTTCTAGTGTATTCTCAATATAACGAGATATTTTTAGTTTGACGGAGGAGCATTCTGGAACCTTCACCGTAATTTTAAATTTGTATATAAATATTGGTGAAGGATCAACGGGAAATCAGTGGTATATAGACAGTTGAGAATAAAGTATTGGACTGTGAATATAAATAGTGAACGATTCAAAGACATTCAAAATATATATAAATAGAATAGTAGTGTTATAAAATAAATAAGCGTTTAAATAAATTATTAATAAATAAACTGTTGTTTTAAACTAAACAAACATCACAGTATTTTTTAACAATTTTTTATGATCGGTAATGAGTTTTTATTTGTATCAATTAATTTTTTTATTATACTTTATTTTTCTAATTTTTTTTGCATGATTTGGAGAGAATTTAAATGATTAAATGAATTATTTTTATTTATGTAAAAGGTAAGATACGGTAAGGTCCAAATCCCTGATTTTGACTTCTTTTACTAGTTTTCTCTCTCAAAATTTTTTTCACATATTAATAATGTATTTATTATTTACTTACTTCAATAATCCTTAAACTTTTTCACTCTATATATCAATTGTTTTTCCAATGCGTCTCTTAAATCACTTTTATTATCCTCAAATAATATATAAAAATAAAATAAAGACTAAGAAAATACGTTTCTTACCTTCTCTTCTTATATTTTTATTTAGTATATATTTATCATAGCAATTAAAATCTTTATAATTTTTCTTAGTGTAAAGAGCCCTTAAAAAAATAGTAATTAATGAGAAATTATTATACCTAGCTTAATTCAAAAACTAGTTATGAAACACTTTATTTATACCGATTTAAATAGTGTTTTTTATATTTTACTCATAATTTTTAAATACGAAGATGTATCCCGCCACTGAGAGTATTCCAAGGTCCCATATATTATTAGGTTCGACTGCAGCTAGTTATCAGAAAAGAAGCTTGAGCGTTAGAATGTGTCCCTTAGGGTCAGTTGGACCACAGCTTTTCCTCAATTTGGTACTTATCTCTCACCGTATACTTCCTGAACCATGGATACCCGAGAATGGAACAATCTATTTCCATTTCTTGTATACATTTTTTATACCGAATACAGTGCCGTAGACGGGTATGCTTATAAAATGTGAAAAATTTTTAAATTTCTGCTTACAATTCCAAATGTGTGAGCAAAATCAGAATATTTCTTATGACAGGTGTACGAAAGTTTTATTATTTTTATTTTATTTGTATGTAGTTAAATTCTTAGTGTTGATTTTAAAGTTAAATATGCCTCATTTTAAAACTTGGCCCAGATGAAAATGTGTAAAATGCGGATCTATCCCTCTTTGCATTGAATTTGGAACAGATATGTTACTAGTTTTTTTTTAAATTATGTTAAATAATTTTGTTATTAGGTTTATTCCTACAGCCGATAGACTCATTGTGTATGGCCCGGATCATACAGTATATGCAATAAGTACTAGGTCCCAGTCATAATACTTTCAACATTTAATCTTATATATCTTGAATACCTTTATGAATAACTTCTTGAATACCTTCATGAATAACTTCTTGAATACCTTCATAAATGACTTCATAAATATTGTCATAAATACCTTCAGGAATAACTTACTTAATAACTTCATAACTTAATAAATAATTTTATGAATAACTTTATGAATAACTTTATGAATAACTGTATGAATAACTATATGAATAATTTACCGAACAACTTTATGAATAACTTCATGAAATAATTCATGAATAACTTCATTAATAACTTCATGAATAACTTCATGAATAACTTCATGAATAACTTCATGAATAACTTCATGAATAACTTCATGAATAACTTCATAAATAACTTCATGAATAATTTCATGAATAACTTCATGAATAACTTCAAAACAACTTCATGAATAAATTAATCGATGTAAAGCAGGCTTTACGAAGCAAACATGATCTGTCGAGAAACTCTAGAGGATTTTAAATATTTATTTAATTTTACATTGCATTTCGTAGAAGTGACTTTGTTGTTATTTTTTTGGGTCTTTAATAAATAAATAATAATTACTTTTAAAAACCACCATACTTGTAAATACACCGAATTAAGTAAAGGAACTTATGAATATATTATTCTTTAACAATAAAACCAAAGAAAATAGATGAATATAAAGTTTTCTTGCAAAAATGAATTATGCTTACCCGCACGCCTCCTATCTTATAAAAATAAATTTCTGTTGGGAAAAAGTAAGGAGGAAGATAAATGTGTATAAACATTACGTGGCGCGGCTTTGGAGAGCCAAAACTTCGGATCATTTCAATGTTAAACCCTATCAGTGCCGAACTAGTAGTACTTTGTTACGCTCTAGAAATTTCAAATGGAAGTAACTTGATGCAGGAATACAAGATACTTTGGACGCATATGTTAAACAGTCGCTATATTTGTTATGAAATTGAGTTAGAAACTACTTTTATATGGAGCAAATTTTCACAGTTTATTTTGTTTCCAATACTATGACAAATAGACATCGTAAAATAATAGAAAATTCATTAATAATATTAATACAGGTGTGGTCTATTGCATCATTATCATTAGACCATTTCATCCATGGGATTATCGCTATAATAAAATTGTATTAACAATTAATTAGTAAATTAGTACATTAGTACATTAGTACATTAGTACATTAGTACATTAGTACATTAGTACATTAGTACATTAGTACATTAGTACATTAGTACATTAGTACATTAGTACATTAGTACATTAGTACATTAGTACATTAGTACATTAGTACATTAGTACATTAGTACATTAGTACATTAGTACATTAGTACATTAGTACATTAGTACATTAGTACATTAGTACATTAGTACATTAGTACATTAGTACATTAGTACATTAGTACATTAGTACATTAGTACATTAGTACATTAGTACATTAGTACATTAGTACATTAGTACATTAGTACATTAGTACATTAGTACATTAGTACATTAGTACATTAGTACATTAGTACATTAGTACATTAGTACATTAGTACATTAGTACATTAGTACATTAGTACATTAGTACATTAGTACATTAGTACATTAGTACATTAGTACATTAGTACATTAGTACATTAGTACATTAGTACATTAGTACATTAGTACATTAGTACATTAGTACATTAGTACATTAGTACATTAGTACATTAGTACATTAGTACATTAGTACATTAGTACATTAGTACATTAGTACATTAGTACATTAGTACATTAGTACATTAGTACATTAGTACATTAGTACATTAGTACATTAGTACATTAGTACATTAGTACATTAGTACATTAGTACATTAGTACATTAGTACATTAGTACATTAGTACATTAGTACATTAGTACATTAGTACATTAGTACATTAGTACATTAGTACATTAGTACATTAGTACATTAGTACATTAGTACATTAGTACATTAGTACATTAGTACATTAGTACATTAGTACATTAGTACATTAGTACATTAGTACATTAGTACATTAGTACATTAGTACATTAGTACATTAGTACATTAGTACATTAGTACATTAGTACATTAGTACATTAGTACATTAGTACATTAGTACATTAGTACATTAGTACATTAGTACATTAGTACATTAGTACATTAGTACATTAGTACATTAGTACATTAGTACATTAGTACATTAGTACAGTAGTACATTAGTACATTAGTACATTAGTACATTAGTACATTAGTACATTAGTACATTAGTACATTAGTACATTAGTACATTAGTACATTAGTACATTAGTACATTAGTACATTAGTACATTAGTACATTAGTACATTAGTACATTAGTACATTAGTACATTAGTACATTAGTACATTAGTACATTAGTACATTTTTAATATTTCTCGTCTTGCTATCCTTTTGCATCTATGTTTAATCCATATGCTATCTGGGACCCGTTTATTTTTATTTTTGAAATTTATATTTAGATATTCCATTTTATTTTATTTTTTCTCAATATTAATTCTATTTGCTGAATTGGTTAGTGACTTGATATAACTTTTCAACGGCTTTATCTGCAAAAATAGGATGGTGGATATTTTTAAGGCAACCGGTAATATCCAGATAAGCTGTTATAAACAATACTTACTGACTAGTACAGACCTTTAAATGGTTTTAAGATGTTTTTCTATTTAGGCAGGAGTAATTTGTTTTCTTTGCACAGTGGCCCTCAAGAAGGTTGGACAGATATAACCGGGTCCTGTAAAACCTAATATTCCAAAAGCATAATTCCGCTTGATCTATATAGGAGTATTAACTGGTGAATTTACAAAGTAACATTTAAACTAGTTGTTACATATGTGGCAGAAGCCAACAGCCGATTAAATAGATACATTCTATTTAGCTTTCGGTATTTCTGTGATTCAAAACAGCTGTAGTAAAGCAACTTGGGCTAGTCCTTTTCTGTTCAAGCCACTGACTGGCGGCAGCAAAGATTCTATCATAGAAAGTAAGCCATGGACCGTGTAAACGTCTATTATCGCTGGCTCTCGTACCTCCAATATCAAATTTTCAAACAAAAGACGAAAAATAAAATTATGTTGGATATTACAAATTTTACTATCGCATCAACGAGTGCCGATGTAATTTTTTTGTAATTTTCGCTCCAACAGAATAGCGTTTGAATTTAAGATGGAGAGATCGTTCTCAACGTAAACGTTGGAGTTTTTAAAGTAAAATGTGGGCTTTGAGCTAGACTGATTAATTAGATGCACTTTCTCTATAAAGGATAAAACATAAAGGGCAAAGGATAATACAGGTATTTCATGTTTTAGAACTGGTTTAGTACAGAATATGTAAATTAATTACTTCAAATTGAAAAGAGGTTAAACATTTTGAATAATCTATCTATTTCAGTTTTATTTTTTCAGAAGTAGATTAAAAATAAAACTTTTTTCATGTATTTTACTGCACCACTAATATACCGAAGTTATATCGGGCGGCTTAGAAGATCAGGTATATATACAAATTATATACAAATGGAAAAAGTTTATCTTACATTTCACAAAAAAATATTCTTTATGAAAAGTTCTGCATTATTTTAAAATCCATAATCAAGCAACAGATTTTGTAAAATATAGCAAAACGATTTATTAATTAAAAATGTTGATAGGAATTTAAAAATATGCCCCAAATTATTGTCTTTGTTTTAAAGTGATTTCGATTTACTTTATCTAATAAATAATCAAGAAGAAATGCTAAAATGTGTATTGGAATTTTTTGAATTTTTAAAATGCTTGTTTCAAGTGATGCAGAAATTTTTGTCAACAATTTGGCAAGATACTTCGATAAAAAGTTAAAAGAAAACATTTATGGAGATGCTCTTTTGTGGAGAGTGTTTTTCAAAACATTATAGATTATATCTTGCGACCGGATAACGCATAGATGTAAGAAAGAAATATTGGTACTTTACAAAGGAAGTCTCTGCTTTCTTTTTTAGGTTTTTAGGTGTTTGTAGACTAAATGAAATTCGCGTGTGTGGTTATAGCTTTGGGCACTGATCAGTGCGTTCTTCAGTAGTAATTTGTTTTTTCATGTCATTAAAACATTGTTTTATATAAATATATATATATAAAAATAATGTTTTAATAACAAGAGAAAAAAAATTAATAATAAAAACTACTGAAGAAGGCACTGATCAGTGCCGAAAGCTATAACCACATATATGAGTTTCAGTTAGTCTTCAAACACCTAGAAACCTAAGAACACTACAAGAAAAAAAAAGAAATAAATATTGAAAAATGGCTGGATTAAAAAATATTTCCTAGTGGTAATCAAATTGTAGACGAGATGGACTTAGAAGTGAAATTCTTTGATCACATTTCTCTGTTTTAGCCATAATCGTATCTGTAAGGTAGATAGTGTTGGGAGAGTGGGTTAAATAAGAATTACTGCGTGGTTGGTTTGATTTTAACGGCTTCTGTTAAGTTGAGACATGCTGTTCTTTGTATAAAAATATCTACGCCCATGGAATGTGACATATCTCTGTTTTTCTCTAGTATTTAGATATAATATAAATCTTTAAATGTCTTAGTTGTGCTGTAAATTATAATTATTATTAAATTACGAACTAAAATTAACACTTAAACGTTGACTGTTGAATTACAAGATACCTAATCTGTGTTCCATGTTAATTTCCAGATTGACAATGGTCTTCTCGAGCTTACATCGAGCTTCCATGTCACTACTCCGGTTATCTACATACCTCCTGGAGAATTAAGAGTGACGAAATTATTCGGACTAACGAATAATTACGTCGAAGTTAATGTGAAGATGCCGGAGAAGCTCAAAACTGCCGTAAGTAAAACTTGTTTTATAACTTTTTTACTGAACGTAACATTGATTAAATAATTAATGAAAAGTTAATTATTTTTCCGTGAATTGAGAAGGCTTTGTAAAACATAAGCGCAAGGCGAAACTGTAAATTTCAAGTGATTTGCTGGTGCTTCTCGGAAATAACTATTATTACGTTCATAAATATTCTTGGAAATAATGATGAGGTAAAAATTTAGGTAAATTTTATTTTTTTTCACGTACGTAGAATAATTTTTGGTCCAGTTTTATAATTAATTTTTAATAATCATTAAATAATAAATACAATTTTTATATTTAATTTTAACCTACCGTTTAATGGTTTATTAAAAAGTATTCTAGCACGAAACTTAAACAAATGAAGAAAAATATCCTATATTTTCGAATAAACTTCACAAAAACAAACGTTTGTCAAGTCGTTAAGAAATGATACTACTTTGATTCCTTTGATGTCTCTATTTTAAATATAATTGTGCTTCAAAGCTTTCTACATTCATATTAGAGCATAAACTAAATGCATTTTAGAGTTAATTAGGGTAAAATGTACAAAAATGATGGGAGCGTTGTATTAAAATATATTTTCACAAAATAATTGTATTAGGTGTCTGGTGTTTTAACTCTAGTTTTAAACTTTAATGTAAATCGGCTGCATATTCAGGGAAATTGCCAATAAAAGGGATTACCTAACACAGCGACTTTTTCTTTCTCTTAGATATACTCAAAGGTATCTTGGCTGATAAGATCTAGGAACGATTTTCGCGGTTTGGTCCAATTGGAAACGCCATTTTCTGGTCTAGAATATACAACAGCAGGCTTAGAAGTATACATTTCCGAGCTGAGATCAACGTTCGAGCTTAAGCTCCAGATTAATCCAATTGAAGCTATGGTGCATTCCAGTTTATCCAATAACGTTTTTACAGCCAATTCAGATCTAACGTTCAACGGATACAAGTAAGTTGAATTTTTTTTATTCTTTAATTATTTTGTTATTTAACAATTGTGTTGTTAAACTCCTTCTTCCTGTATTAAAGAACAAATTTAAAAATCCTGGAATGTCTCAAATAGTTAACAATAATAATTTTTTAACTTTTATTATATTATTGTTGAAGAGATCTTCACATTTTTCATCGAAGGATGTACGTTTCATAGAAGAATCAACTTGTTTCTTTTGGTTTAAGAGGCCACAGTATCACGGTGTTTCCTAGAAGAAAAAGAATATGATTCATAAACCTCAGTATATGTACATAATGATTTGTTGTAGAAATAACATAAGAATTATTATTATTAGAAACTATGAATATAAGACAAATATTTTAGGGAGGCGTAAGTTAAGCTTAACTGTTGTGTACGAGGTATATACTATAATTCAAACAAATCAGCCATTGGAATAATTTTGAAAATTCGGAAACAAATCTCAAAAATTATTAAGACCATCTCCGAAATCCCAAAGGTAAAAACAAATACTTGGACATTAAAAAAAAAAAACATGTCACTGCCGAGATTCGAACCCAGATACAAATGCCGTTACTGTTAGTCCATGACAACATTGACTGTCGAGATTCCTAGACAGCGATTTGAAAGGGCTAAACGCCTTTAAGGCTTGTTCTATAATCTTCAAATACCTCTATACGGCATCGGTATATATGAGAAATGCATTGATGCATACTAAGCCTATATTTTCATCTACGTGAGTTTAGTTTTCATGGTACGTTATGCGACGTAAACCTGAGTATGAAAATTGTGAATTTAATACATCGTAGACAGCAAATCGATATCCGAAAGGTCAGAATTATCTAAAATAAATTGTAGAATAATTTTTAAAATTCTGAAACAAATCTCAAAAATCCCCCTACGAATTATTAAGACGAGCCCCAAACCCCAAAGGTGAAAACAAATACTGCGCAGCTGGGGATTGAACTCAGACATCCTTATTTGCTAAACAATCGCTCTTTCCACTAGACCATCCACGACAGTAAGATTCCTAGACAAAAGTTTGTTGTGCCAGTTCGGGCCAGACGGCGTTTCAAATCTTTAAATACCTCTATATACAGCATTGGTAAGAGAAATACATTAGGCTTAACGTACATTGAAAACTTAACTTACGCAGACGAAGATATGGGCTTAGTATGCATCAACTCATTTCTCACATATACTGATGCTGTATAGAGGTATTTGAAAATTTGAGAACGATCCTGAAACGACGTATGGCCCAAATTAGTACATCAAATTGCTGTCCAGGAATCTCGACAGTCAGTGTCATCATGGCCTAGCGGTAAGGACATTTGTGTACAAAACAAAGATGTCTGGGTTCGAATCCCTGCAGCGACAGGCTTTTTTTCAAATCTAGTATTTGTCTTCACCTTTGGGGTTCAGGGATGGTCTTGATAATTCATAGGGGATTTTTGAGATTTGTTTCCGAATTTTAAAAATTATTCTACTTATTTCTACTGACCTTTCTGAGTTTTATTTGTGATTTACGATAATATATTAAATTTACAATTTTCAAATCATAAATTTTTCATCTAAAAATGTTTAAAACTAAGATACCACTGATTGATTGGTGTTTCTCAGTTCATAGCTATGAACTTCCAGTTAATACTATTCTCTGCCTCATGTTTATTTATTAATTTATTCATACTAAAATATTTATTAATTTATACTTAATTCTAATTTATGTGGACATTTACTATATCGATCTGCTCACAGCTATGTTTCGTCTTCAACTGACTTCGCCTCAGTAACACAGCTTATTTATATAAAAAAGTGAAGGCTCTCGAAGCTTCCACCAATTTGCTCGACTAATATTATTACAATATTACACCTTCGCCAAAGGTGGCAATTTAGTGTTATTCATCTACTGTGTTCCAGATTGTTGATTAGCGTTCGCCATGAAAGTAACATTAAGATTGGTTTCGGGGGTTGACTTATTTAAATATTTTTGGTAATTGGACAAGCGAGGCCGTAAAAGCCCAAACAAAGCAGAGAGGGAGCATAACCGGACTGGTCGAAAAAGCAAACTAAAACAGTCAAAACTAAATAATTTTCTAGATAAATAAACTTATTTTTTGTTCAATTAGCAAAAAAGATCTTAAATTTTAAATGTTTCGTTAAATTATTGTACATCGGTAAAAATGAAGCAATTGTTTGATAGTTCAAACTTCAGATATTTTTTTTTCACTGGTATAAAAAATAAATATAATCTTTTTGCTAGTTGGACAAAAATAACTATTTTTGTAAGATATTAAAATTAGCGTGTATAAATTTGTCGAGCATTCATCTTTTAAGTTTTTGTTAATTAGCTTTTCCCCAGAAGAGTGTCATAAATTCCTGGGATTTGAGGACATAATTAGAAAATGTCGGTTAAGTGACGCGTAATATCTAAATACTTTTATACTGCAAATTACACGCAGTATTACGTCCCCCATATAATTAGTCCACCGAAAAGACTTAATGGTTTCGGAAAGTTTGAAACACTTCTTCTCGTCTTAAATAAATAGATTAACAAAAAGTTATGTGAATGAGGTTGAACGTCGCATCTTCCCCCAAAAAAGTTAAAAAAATAAAGATGGGTATAATAGAGTAGAAGCGGTTTTTATATAATATGATTTTGTCTAAATATGCCTTTGTCTTAATAAATTCAGTGTTTTCAAGAGAAAATATTTCGATTTTTATTAACGCGAAAACGCTAAAACTAAGATTGTCCTTAAAATTCTCTAATCCATTTAAAATAATAATAATAATAATAATAATAATAATATTCTCCCTAATTTACCCCCTTAGGAGTGCTTTTCAAACCCTGAAGCCGACTGAGTGACTTGTGTAGGGGAAGGGATAGTTATTATTATTATTTGCCGTGGCTTTCCGGGCCGACAGGTGAGAAAAACCCGGATAACCCCACCCACCATCATCGAATAAATTCACATGGTCTTGGTAGGATTCGGAGCCTGGTATCATTCTACCGTAATCGATATTAGTTATTTGTTCAAAAAAATAGTAGACGAACATTATTTATGGGCTTAATATGCATAAATACATTTCTCATACATACCGATTCTGTAGATAGGTATTTGAGAACGAGCCTGACCGCCGTCGGGTCCGAACTAGTACATCAATTTTTGTCTAGGAATCTCGACAGTCAATGTCATGATGGTCTATAGGAAAGGGCACTTGTCTAGCATTTTAGGATGTCCAGGTTGCATATTCATAAACCGCCGACACGTTAGATACTCGTATCAGTTCGGTATCGAGAATAACAGTCTCGTAAAATCTCGACGTGTTGAGTTATCGGTCAATTGTATATTTAGCAAAAGAAGATAATTTTTGAAATTATTGTCGCATATATAATGTTAAATTCAAAAATTAACTTTTATTTTTAAGGAAAACAAAATTTATTGTACAGGATTATAGCCAAATATGGAATGTGTTCCTAAAATGGAATACCATTAATTTATTTTAACAAGCTATGGTAACGCCCCGCAAATCGTATACAAACGTAGTTAATTTTTCCCTAATAAACCAGTGACCGTTAAATGCAACGTATGCCGACTCACAAGTTTTTATAATTTTTTCGTAAAATCGAATATTTTACGAGACGTATTAATAATATTAATACACAAGGGAAGTATCAACTACCAACTTTGTTCTTATTTAGCAAATTAAATTAATGTTGGGGTAATGTTTGAATCTGTTAACAAAAATTAAAATGGTGAGGTACCTAATATGGAATGGTGTGGTGTCCACAATTTGGAGCTCACAAGTAAATGATTGCCATCCGTTTCTATTGCAGTGGAAAGACGTCAGGGGTAACCATATTGGTACCATGCAGACTGTTTAGGGGCAGAAAATAATATATTTTTGTACAAATTATATAAAGCAGTTAAAATATGTTCTCCTGATGATGCAATTCTTTTATGATAACTTATTTGTTTATCCATGGAGCATAAAGTAATAAAATGTTTTGTATAGAAGTCATGTTTTATTTTAACTTGAAACCTATGTTCCATATTGGGGACATATTTCCTACTAGGTACAAAAATACAATTTTCTATAGAATAGTTTTCTGTAAATCCAATATAATAGATTTAATATTATGAATGATGTAAAGAATTTACACAAAAATATAAGGAGATTTTAAGAAGATATTCTGAATTTAATATGTATAAAAATAAAACGGTATTCCATATTTGGCTCACTCTCTCTTTCTAAATACTGATTTAAACTGCTTCGCCGACGAATAAGGTGCTTTCATTACTCTATTTTATTTAGTTTTCTTCCAGTGTTGTATTTCTGCGACCAATAGATGTAGATATATGCTTTCCTCTTTTTAGTGTATCTAGAGTTATTTTTCTTTTACACAATAATCCTTTCTATTATTGGCTATTATTAGGTAGTCTTTAAATTATATTTTATTATCAATTTTATTTATTTAAAATCACCTATTATGACACGAACAGTAAATTAAAAAATATACTGAATATAGACTTGCATATACATACCTATAGGCAATAAAAAAGCGAGAGTAAAACTAAAACTGTCTCGTAACGAGTGATGATTGATGTCCAGTAAACAAACGTTTCTTATTTCATAAATCACCAACGTATTAGTTGTAACACGGTGGGATTTTACGAGTTTGTCATTTGCGGTATCGAACTCTTTCGAGTGCCTAATGCTTTGGCGGTTTACGAATACGCGTCCGGCTACAACAGACTTTTTTAAAATCTTCAAGTGTTTGTTTTCAACTTTGAGGTTCGGGGGATGGTTTTAATAATTCGTATGGGGATTTTTGAGATTTGTTTCAGAATTTTCAAATTATTCAGCTATTTATTATTTCTTGTATAAAACAAAATTATATATTATTTTTTGGTTGTATTTACTATTATTGTAATGTAAGTTTTGAACTCAATTTCAGTTTCCTTTATCAATGGAAAATACCATATATCAATGATTTTTTTTGGCATTTTGAATAAAATTATAAAAAAAATAATATACCAAATTCTGCTACTAATTTCATTTGTACGCTATATTATTCCTTCCTTAAATTATACTAGTGTGTATATTTTGAGTGAATTATTATTCCAATATGTACAGTGATAATATGAAACCATTAAACCTATTTGAAATTTTACAGCGTCAGAGGATATTTCCTTTAAAAGCAAATCCCACTTTAGAATAAGAATTGCTATTTTTGTGTGTACATTCCGGCAGCTAAAAGGAGTTTTTCCAGCCATTCGCTGAACGTTTCTTATAAAACTGAGTAAGACAAATATTTGTTTTGATGATTTTCAGAATACCGATAATTGTCGACTGCGAGATACTTAAACCGTCGAAAGATAGAAGAGATTTTAAAGGCACTCTCAAGTTAAGGGACAAACTGTTCAAAATAACAGGAAACGCTGCTTTAATGGACGCCTTACCTAGAGCAGTTTCCGTTAAATTTACTCCAGAGGACAATAGCCCTTCCGTAACTTTTGAATACCAAATTAACTCAACAACACTCGATAGATACGAACTATTAGGGAGTCTACGACATTCGGATAGATTCACTAGTTTTAATGCCAATTTAACTACAACCGGCGATAACCATTATGAGGTTGATTTGAAGGTATGTATACAATAAATTTTACATATATGGGGTGTTTAAAAATTAGGTAATGAATGATATTACAATTGATTTATTAAAGCAATTTTTAGACCAATTTTATACTATTATTGTCAAATATTGACGACATTGTACAATATATCAATAGTTAGGAACCCATTTTATGTACTCTAAAATTTTATTTTTTGTACGTATGGAATTAGTTTCATGATTATGTTACTGTAGTGATAATCAGTGAATCTACTTACATACTTAGTGAATTAGTTACTTAGTTATTGTATGTCAATTTGTTATATTTATTTCATTGTCAATGTCGCTTTCTGTCGTATTTTATTACAATTTAATAAATAGTTAATTATTAAATGGATCGTCTCTTGCGTCCCGATTGATTTAATACCGACCTTAACGGGCCTACTGCATCGCAAGAATGGAATCATTGGTTTCAGACCTTTAAAAATCCACCGCACTTCCAGAAGGCAAAAAACAAGATATTGTTAAATCTACTCATTAACCATATATCTCCTGCTACCAGAGTGCTTAATATATGACTCCGCAATCAGTACCTTGATGGGCTTGTACGTTAAGAAAATTAATGGAGTATATACTAGGCATATTCTTGCCATACGTAAACAGCATCCCGGAGAAAACATAACTCAGTATCTTCAAGAATCTGAGTAAGAATTGTGCCTTTAAAAGCGTAACCGCTAACGTATACCGAGATGATTTCATTAGAGACTCATTGATAAGAGGCTTATCTTCAGGAATAAGTCGAAACCACACCTTGACATTTCAAGAACACTTTCTGGGTAGTGAGAAGGGACATTCAGCGATTGAAAAAGAAGCCTAGGCCATAGTAGAAGCTCTGGTAGACAGTTTCAACTTATTACAGATCAGAGGTCTGTGTCATTTATGTTCGACAACAAACGTCATGAAAAAATTAAAAATGACAAAATAATAAGATGGCCCTTGAACTCTCACCCTTTAAGTACGAAATTATTTACCGTCCTGGATCATTAAACCGGGCTGTGGACGCGATGTCTCGAGTTTCCTCTTCTATTCACAACAAAATTGATTTATTTAAACTTTACACTTCATTGTGCCATCCTGGAATTACGAGGATACACCAAACATTCCGGTGAGCTCGAATGAAATTCGAGACATGACTGCATCCTGTCAGATTTGTCTAGAATTAAAACCTCTCTTTGTAAGATCTCGAGGAACCTTAATCAAATCAACCGCTGCATTTGAAAGGCTAAATATCGATTTTAAGGGTCCGCTTCCGACTTGTACTGATAAACCTTACATGCTAACAGTAGTTGATGAATTCTCTAGGTTTCCCTTTGTTTTTACATGTATCAGCATGGCTTCATCTGAAGTAATCAAGCATTTGAGAGAATTATTCTTCATCTTCGGTACTCCCTTCTATATCCACTCTGACAATGGTACATCTATTTCTCATGAACTCAAATCATACTTAGATGCTTAAGGTATTGCCACTAGTAGATCTACTTCTTACAATCCTCAAGGCAATGGACAAGTGGAACGGTATAACGGCATCATGTGGAAAACCATTAACCTTGCACTCCGGTCAAATGGACTGAAATTGAGCATGGCATGAGAGAATGTTCAACCACCCCGACGTTCTAACGGTGGAGTATCTCTCCCTACATGGTTAACATCACCTGGACCTGTTCTACTTCGTAAATTTAATAGGACCAATGAATATGAGCCCTTAGTTGAAGAGGTAGATCTCATTAAAACAAATCCACACTATGCTCGAGTTAAACTCCCTGACGGTAGAGAAACTACCATATTGCTGAGACATCAGGCCCCTTCATCTGGCAAACCTATTCAAAATTCGGAGGATCCTAGTTCTTCACAACTTTTTATATGATTATGTAAGATTTTAAAGATGGGAAGAATATAGTGATAATCAGTTAATGTACTTACATACTTAGTGAGTTAGTTACTTTAGTCAAAAACGTGGAGCTAAAAAGTCCTCTGGTTCTCTACATGATGTTATATTTTTATCTTAAAAAAGAAGAAAAAATTCCTTACGTTTTCAAAGTTCATCGATGTTGCATTTCATTGTTCATCCTCCAGCATTGGATTAAAAGAGATATGGTCAACTTATTAATATCGAAATGTTAAAACTAAGGAATTCTGAGAGTAAATTCCCATAAACAACGACATAATCTCACCAAGATGTTTTATGGTGTATTTTGTGGTGCAAAGAGCATGTAATTCTTATATTATGATTTGTTATTATGTCCATAAGCAATGCAGTAAGTAGTGACCGAGTTATCGAAGAAATACTAATCGCATGGATTTCGAGATCATATAGCAGTTCTGGTTTTTCCGAAGTAGTTCAATAAGAATTGCATTTCATAATCAAAATTGGTTATTCTGCGAATCAGCAACACATTAGTCACTAGGCTGTAGTATCTATTATAAAAGTATTTGATTCTCATTTAAATACCCGTTATAAATTTGTACGTGATATGAACTGCAATAAAAAATGATTTCTGACTTAAAAATCCAAGAATTTAATAATTTTTCATTATTTAACAACATATTTTTCCAATACAAAGCATGAAGAATGAAGTCTACACGAGTACACATACTATACACAACCATAAACGAGCAAATAAACTGTAACAATTATGAAACGAATTTCCGATAGTTTACCAACTGTCCGTAGAGCTGTGTAACGTTTATTGTAATGTCTCCGTATACAAATCAAATAAATACACTAGTTTTAATGTCAATTTAATCGATCCGCACTGACATGGTTTCCCGTTTGCGATTTAGAGTTTAGAGGTAGAGATATCAAAAGGATTGTTTTCAATCGATCCCACAGTCATGATGATTAATAAAAAATATCGAACGATTGAGGGATTGCTTGGTTAGCTTGTCGGTTTCAGTTGAATTCAGTTTATTCAAATATAAATCTGCAATTATTCTGAATTTAATCCTTCTTCAGATTTTGCTGGACGCTATGATAGTCTCCTATTATATTCTTAGCGGTGGGTGAAACGGTGAAAAGCAGACTCGACAAGGAAAGGGACAGGGGGGCAAAATCCTCGTGGCCCGGCAGCTTTAGCAGCGGAGGCTTTTTTTTAGAAGTTTGCCACAAAATTGTGGACTTTTTTTCATAAAAATGCCTCGCTATTTTCCGCAAATCTGCCGCCAACCCTAGTCATATAAGGGGCCCTTGCCAGTGTTTTTGTCTTGAGGCCCTGGTGAAAAGCAATGCGACACAAGGGGTATGATGAACTGTCATCATAACATTGGTGGTAAAAGAATTGATTAGGTACTCACTCGTAAATGAAAAAAAATCTGAAAAGGTACTGCTAGGATAGCACCAACATATTGTAACCAGTACGTTAAGTTTTGGTCCTTTTAGATTCACCTAGACAGAAACCATGTAGTTACAAATATATTTACGATTTTAGATGAGCGAAAATGATTATTTATCGTTTTTTCTTTAGACAAAATTAGATAGTACTTTTGATACAGTTTTGTTAATTTGCAGATTTTGACATCTAAAAATGATACGTTCATAGTCCACACCTCTGCAGTTTTAAACCCAAAGGATGCCAGAATAAACGTACATGCCGTAACCCCAATTCCAAAAATGGAGAATCCAAAATTCGGCGCTACGTACAAGTAAGTTGTTCACTTTTAGCTAACTTAAGGCCGTTACTTTTTGCCAAATAAATTTTTACTAATTGGACAAGATAGTCAAAGTGACAAGTCGAAATATAAGGTTAGGAAACCTTTACTATAGTTGTTATAACCATTAATTTTCAGAGCTGTAAGATTTAACAACGCAACGCTCATTATTTGATCATGATTATGCTTAAATGACCCAAAATCACGTTGTCAGTAATACCCATCTATTAAATTTAGTTAAGCATGATAACCTAGAACTCAGTATCCTTAGTTTTTAATATTATGTACATTTACAAAGTATAGTCAATTATTATTTAATGGAAAGTCCCTTTTCTTTAATTATAACTTATAAAGCACAATTCACTTTTAATATTTCACACATTATAATAATCAGAACAAGGGTATTGTTATCTGTACAACGTAAATTTATTTTAAATTCTCCGTAAGCCCACAATTTACAACCAAAATTAAAATGACTGCTTCCACACCGCAAAAAAATAAAAGAAGCAACCTTTATATCCGCACGTATATCCTGCTGTTCTTTTAAAACTAACTTCTCTCGTTATTAAAGAAAAAAAAACTTGAAAGAGTTTTTTTTTCGGTTGAAAATGTCTACATAAATTCCCCCAGGGATTACACACAAAAAGGGACAAAAATAATGACCTTTACAATCAATCCCCAAAGTGTTAAGAAAGAAGTACGCTAACAAAATGTAACTTAGCAAGCAGAGCCGGTATTAGGGAACTCAGATTGTCATGGACCTTTTTCGGTCGACACGCCAGCTGTATTGAATATCGCTAAGAAACCATTTTGTTTCATAACATAAAATTTTCTCTTTGCATACTTTTCGATACACTTTAGAATAATAGCTTTTCTCCTAAGACACAATTTCTTAACATTGTGGTTAAATAGTACGATGAGTGCAGCAATAAGTAGCCAGCAAGGGAGTATAGTTTGTCAATGTAGGTCTGTGGAAATGTCTGTGCGTATATTTCTATTTTATCCATATTTCTAAGATTTATGAGAAACTGTCAGCACTTAATAATTATAAAAGTTTTGATCCCAATGGAGTTCCCTCCATTTTTCTCAAAAAAATGCATTTTGTGTTATCTAGACCACTTTTTCATATTTCTAACAACTCGCTGAGCACGGGTGAATTTCCCGACTTTTGGAAACTCTCTTATAATAACTCTCATTAACAAATCGAGAAACAAATCCGATGCAAAAACTTATCGAACTATTTCCTTTCTTAGCACAATCTCAAAAATCTTTGAAAGCATAATAACTATTTTTTTTTACATATGACTACTCCAATATCTTAAATTCTCAACAATTTGGTTTTTCGTTCGGCAAATCTGCTGAACTGAGCTTATTATACTAATTTTTTTGTATGATACTTTGGAAAAGGGTCTTCAGGTGTATTCTGTGTATAGCAACTTTTCCAAAGTCTTTGACAAGGTGACCCATCATATTTTATTTCATAAAATCAGTTTATATTGCATAAGTGGGATGAGCTTACAGTGGCTAGGTGGTAAGGGATCATATATCTTAGGGGGTTACGGACGCCATTTTTATTCACAATAGTAGTCGCTAAGCCTGCCAATTTATGAACAATGTATAAACGTTTTTCTTAAATATTACTTTCATTGTGTTCGACCAGATTATTTAAATTCAATCCATTATTCATGATTTCACGTGTTGTAAATAGAATACATCGTATGTGTCGCAACCTCTTAGACATACCAACCCTTGCACCAACAGCTATTTTATTTGAAATGCCTAAATAAATATTTCATGGAGTTATTTTAATTCCTTGTTCATAATTTCTGTCCATTGAATTCCTCATTGTTTCACTCCATAAATGTATCTCAGAACTTTTTTCCCATGCTAAGTTAGTTATTTATTGATGAGATTTAGTGCATTTTATTGGTTATGAATATTACAACCAAATGGCCATCGACCTAGGTCCTTCAGCCAGTACAAATTGTAGGGTATGTATGAGGATTTACAAGCTATATGTGTAAGATAAATATGAATATTAAGATACTTAAAAAAAAAACAACATGTGTCACAAATTATTGTTCATCGGCAAATTCGTTTAAGATTTCTGTTATTGATTTCACTGTGTATTTAAAATTTGCTTGATCAATTTGTCGTTGCATCGAAAAAATGTTTATTAGCATGTGATTGTTTCGTTTCTTCGAGAAATTTTTTGACAGTTTTCTAATTCTTTCCAGGATAGACTGAATCTTAGTTTTTTCGTAAGATATTCATTCGCTGGATGGTGAGTGGGGTTTTCAGGATGTCGCATCTTGGTAATGATTCTTAGTGTAGAAGTTTCGGCCACTTGAATATTTTTTAATGCAGGTTTTCGACAGTTTAAATATATAGTGTGACCGTATTCCAGGAGAGGTCTGCAAATTGTTTTGTAGATTTTAGTTGCCGTGTAGATGTTGATACCTTCTTTTTTTGTATGTTAAAGAGCGGAAATGTTTGGCTCTGGTTTTGATTTTGTTTTTTTGTCTGTGGGTGTTTTCATTGAAGTTCAGCTTATTATCAATAATAAGGCCTAGGTATTTTACTGAGGATACGGGATAGATTGGTTGGTTAGATATAATGAGTGTAGGTGATGTCAGTCTTAGATCATGATAGGGTATCATTAATTGATATTTTTATGGGTTAACTTGTAATCTCCATTTATTGAGCCATTGAGCAACTTCGTTGTATTGATTTTGTAGTGCTGTGATAGTTTGATTCAGCGTATTTCCATGCGATATCAAGGCCGTGTCATCTGCGTAATGGAGTGTGTAATTTACTGCATTGAGGTGTAACTGACCTGAAGGAAAATCAAAGCAATATATGTTGTAAAGGAGCGGAGATTGTGGCGACCCTTGCGGTACAACTTGATTTGCTACAAAACTTGGAGATGTGTGGTTATTTATTTTAACTCTTAGAGTTCTGTTTTGAAGGAAGTTTTTGATAAGAAATTTAAGACCATCAGGCACATTAAGAAGTTTTAGTTTAAATAGGAGGCCGTTGTGCCAGACACAGTCAAAGGCTTTTTTAATGTCCAAAAGGAGAATGACAGATTTTTTATTGTTCAATTTTGTTGTTTGCACATTGGAAACCAGCAAAGAGGTTGGTACCAGAGCGGAGATTTGTTCTCTATACCCAAATAGGAATTGCGGAATTCTCTCCTTTACTAATGTTGATAGTTTGACCTTAATAAATCTTTCGAATAGTTTTCCCAAAACTGGAAGAAGGGTGATTGGTCTGTAATTATCAATTCTTTTGTGGTCTGACTTGTTCGTGGAATATGCTTCAGAACATTTGTTGCATTTTGTTGTTTCTGTGCAGTTTTCTGTTGAGTGGGAAAACTTCAAACACTTATTGCAAAGCAGTGGGGCGGGGGGCGGCGGAGAGCTCGATTAGACAGCATATTGTCGGGATTTGTAATGTAATCCTTCAGAAAGAAGTTTTTCGTGAAATTTTAGATTTTTTGTGATAATTCTTATGAAGTTTGTTGGAGTGTTTGTCTTTTTTGAGATGATTCGTTTACAATAGTGGAATTCCCCTCCAAATGAGACTATTTTTTGTGATATTTATTCGTCCGATATTTTGTTTTCGACAGAGGAAATAACACAAGAGTAAACTTGAGTCGCTGGAATTTTGTTGTTATTTTTTAAGATCTTTAGTGCATTATCTAATATCGCTTTAGCAGTATCACTTTTTAGCAGATAGCCCTTTTTTGTCTTTAATATTATATATCACTATTATTTGGTCTTGTTTCTTCCCACAAATCAGCCATTTGGATTCTATTAACAATGGTATTATTGGTGTTAATATAGAACATATTATTAAATTGTTTCTGTTGGAACTCTTTCATGTGTGGTGAGAAATTTATGGATCTCCCTGTATTTTTATTTGATGGAATATTATTATTTTGGTTTGAATTTGCTTTGTGTTTTTTATAAGAAACGACGGAATACCCTTCGTTATCTTTAACTGGTTTTTTGGAGGTGTCACTCGATTCTCCGTTCTTATCTATTAGCCTTTTTTTGGAGATTCCGATAAATTCGTCTAGCGATTCTTCATTTAATTGCTGTAAATTCGTTAGCAACTCGTTGTATTTTCTTTTCGTTGACGTGGAAATATCTTGATCTACATCCATAAATCCGAAGAATTCTTTCCCATCACTTGAACTAGACATGTTTTTTTTTATGGACTTATCGCTGCTACTTGTGTCGCACATAAATCGGTGTTGCTTGTTTGTATCCACATTTCTACTACTAGATGAAGAAACATACATTTTTTTTAATACAAAAATCAACACTGATGCATCGAAGTACTTAGTTTTCCCTAAAGTGTTTGTATTGCCAAACTGACACTGTGGATAATTAGACTGACGAACCGTTATATTGCAAGTCCACATTGTATTTACTCCACTTCCAGTTTACGGCAGATACCTTTTAATTGTAATACATATCTCCTCGATTTCCAGTAAAAAGTTTATTGATTTAAACAATTCCGTTTATGTAAGGATTTCAAACTATAGTCATTATACCTTTAGACTTCTTGTTAAAGCTGAGCGAAACGGTTCCATTTGGAACGGCAGAAGTACTTTTATATGTTTTTTCATTTAATTCTATTTCACCATGCATCACAATTTTATTTTAATACACTTTATTTTATAATCTAGTTCCCAATTACACTCTTCATAGTTGTTGCCCTTTTTCTGCTTCTTTATCCTTCCTAGGCCGCCATTTCACCACTATATTCATCTGTAATCGATCTTGCAGACTACGTGGCATATCCATCTCGGTTTTGTGTAACACATTGGATGATATCGGTTATTCCGGTGTTTGCCTAATTTGAAATCTTGTGTATGCTTTGTTATATTGTGAGCCTTTCTTATCAGACAAACTAAGTTTATGTATCTTAAAAATTTCATTCGGAAAACAGTTATTTTCATGGCTCTTTGATTCACCTATTTGCTTTCTCTTTTAGTAATAAAATGTCTAGCTACGCTACTGCTTCGAGAAATAATGAAAGTATTCTATTTATTAAGAATATGAAATTAACGTTAATCAATATAACTTCTCCACCTCTATTTAAGTTGTGAAACTGACACTGTAGTAACTTTGTATAGCGAAAACAAGGAGCAAGACACATCGTTGAAAATTTTATCAATTAAAATTTTCCGCTTTAATATTCCGAATTGACAAACACGAAAGATAAACTTAAAGTGAAATTAAAATGAATTACAATGTGAGAATTCAGTTTGCTGACTGAATATAAAACGGGTAGAATTTATGCCAGCAATTTTAGTTTTGATAAAATTTTATTAAATCCCTCCCATTTTCGGAATATTGTACCATAGATTAGGGTGGCATGGGATGGTTTTTCGAATTTGATTGATCCTGAGTGAAAAAGTATGATATTATAATGCGTGGGAAATAAAAATAGTGAGATACATATTATTTTACAAAACTAACAAAATAAAACGACATATAAACATTTTTACACTCATTTCTGAGTTTTAAATTGATTCGTACTTACTTTTTATTGCAACCAATACCCAAAAATAGGTTTCATAACATGTGCTTTATTAATACCCTAGGCAACATACTTTGGTATAAATTACGTATTTTTTTAACTATTACGATACGTATGAATACGGTTGATGTACTACCCAATATATTCGTGAAAATATCCGCCCAATAAACGTATATTATTTCTCACATGTAAACGTCGCACAGTGGTTCCTTTTTGCCATAACGTGGAAAAAATTATTTTGTGACCGAATAATGCAGAAAAACCGTCAAAAATAATTTTTTGTTACTTTTAATAAAATTTCAGTACTTTTTAGCAATAGAAAAGATTTGTGTCTTTTAATTATACGTGTTTTGTTTGGTTTAACTTGTAATGAAGTCAATTTTTCCTTAATCAGTTTTATTTCATTTATCATTTTTAATAAATAATAAATGCGCTCGAACTGCTTGTCCTAGGCCCATATCTTTTTGAGTAACAGCTGCGCACCGCCGATCGACATATCGATGCGCGGGGGTACTGGTCGTTAGTGGGAATTTTTCTCGCTTTCGTCGCGAATTAAAAGGCTTTGGAGAGGCACTTGATTTCAGCCAGTTAAAAGTAGAAGCCGCATTTAAATTAGGTAATATTTTTTCTATTTTGCAACAGAGTTTAATAAACAGAAACAATATAGGTGGTATTAGGTCAAGGAAACAAGTGGCTGTGTTCACGTAAGGAATAGAGACGGATTATTTTATGTAAAATTAAAATATTTTTATGATCAGTCCTTACGTGTAACAAGAATTTTCTGATATAAAAGTGTATAGCAAATATTTGACAAAAAAATAAAAAGCGAAATAAAATTTCCAGATTTATAGTTCAACTTATATATATATATATATATATATATATATATATATATATATATATAAGTTGAACTATATATATATATATATATATATATATATATATATATATATATATATATATATATATATATATATATATATATATATATATCTATCAACCATACAAGTCTAAAGGCTCATGGCCTAAAATTTCTTTATTATCCTACTCCAATTTTTTTCTGTTAACTAGGACTGTCCAGTTTTCAATACTCACCTTCTTTAGGTCTTCCTTAAATACATCTAGCAACTTTTTCTTTGGTCGGCTTCTCCTTTTCTTTGCTCCCTCCCCTTCCATTTTGGATTTTCTTACCAGCCCAACAAACAGAAATTGTGGCACGTTGTTGGCCCTTTAACGAAAGTGATAACAAAGTAATAGTAATATCTTTATTAACTACCCATTAACTTTAATTTTTCGATGGGCCTTTGATGGTTTGTTAACTGTTTCCCACATTCAACTATAAAATCGTTATGCCCAGTTCAACATTTTTAATTAATTGATGAGCCGCTGACGGCTTTTTAACTCTGTCCCACATTCAACTATAAAAAATAAAAGACTTTAAACTGGCGCAGACCTAACTCCAACAGTCCAGGAGGGCTCCGCTCCGCATTCATAGATGGAGACACCGTTGGTCCCTTGCTACATGCTCGACTCGTGGACATATACTATGAGGCCCAGTATCGCATTGTTGGTATTCACTATTCAGTATTCATTGTAATTTCTTAATTTTGCATGTTATTAAATTATAATATTTTTTAAATATAGTTTTTGTATAAGACACACGTGGTACATTCTTTTTAAAAGCTCGGCATCATTTTATAAGAGACTTATGCAAGCTTAAGCTCTTTGATGGGAAGTTAACAATAATATTATGGGAAACTGCTGGCCATGTGCAGGATTTTCACTACTTATTGCTGGTAAAATGACGACGGTCTTCTGCCGCCCGTTGAGACAAAAAATCGTCTTACCAATTGCAAACTCCCACCGAAAGGATACTACTTTAATTAACATACATACGTTTGGTGGGATCCTATTCTGCGGCATGACATAACCATCTTGCTCTATGTTTTTAACATGTGTGATACTTATACATGTTTTCCAATTCTTGATTTGTTCTTCTCCCTCACCGATTTCATCTTTCAAATTCTTCTTAGGATCTTCCTCGGCCCATATATCTAATTTGGTTTCCATCTCATTACTAAATACCCACGTTCGCATGCATCCATACATACCTTTTGTATTTACTGTTACTTTAGTTTTTGACAATTATTTAGCTTTCAACAGTTATATCATTCTCTTATCATTTTCCTCTCGATTTCTTTTTCTTCATCGCAACTGAAATTATAGCTGCTAGGTGTTCAAATTCATGCAATTTATCAAATTTTGATACAATCTGTTTTCCGTGCTGATTTTTATTTCATTTTCCTGTTCAAATCCCCATCCTGATCTCCATATATTTTGTTTCATCTTTGTTTATTCGAAGTCTATACTTTTCTGATGTTTCTAAACGTCATATTTACCTCTAATTTTGTACCTGCTAGTCATGATTAGTAGATCGTACGCATATGGTAACGTCTGGTGGCTGCTATAGTAAAACTATTTTATTTTCTCTGATTATCGCTTCTAGTACTAAATTAAATAGCAGTGTGGACAAAGGGTCTCCTTGTTTTAGTCCCTTATTTACTTGGAATGCTGTAGATAATTGTCCTTTTAGTGTAATTCTACTAATGGTTTCATCTAGAGTTAATTTGACTAGGTTTATTAATTTATTAGGAACGTTAAACTATTATTCAACTATTATTTAAATTAAAATCTCATAATATATTCACTTTTTGTTTCTTAATTTAATATTAGCTATACACTTTTATATGCCTCTACCAGAAAATCTTATTTGTTATGCTGACTATAATTAAAATATTTTAATTGTACACGAAATACTCAATACATTATTAGGTAACTGATATTTATAAAAACAACACGAAGCCAAACTCTCTCTTGCTTGACTAATTAGTCCCTTTTATTCAGGATGAATGGATTACAAACTGATACCTACGGATTCTTTGAGTTGACAGATGCTAAAGGGCAGATCAATGCAAGTTACATTTTCATTTACTTGGAAAATATGATGATCAACGCCGTTGGAAGATTTGAAAACAAACATTACGAAAGCCAGTCTTCGTTAGTTGGATTTTACGAAAATCCCCAACTGGCGTTTCACAAGTTTAAAGCTGGAGGGGATATAAAAATTGACAGATTGTGGGAGTAAGTATAATGATTTTTATTTAATATCCTTTGTTTAAGCCCAAACATTTCAATTATTAAGGTGTGAAAAAAAAAATTAAATGAAAAAAAGTGATAGTTTGTTAGTACGTGTTTTGAATGTATACGGAATGGAGCATTAAGGAAAGAGTGATGGCACAAGTACAAGATAGCGGTTTCTGTATAACGGCTAAGCATTTAGTTTGCAGCTCTCGTATCCACCCATATCTTCTAGTGACCTGTATTTGAGAACTGTTACTTTGAAAGTAGCAGTTATTAAAATATGATCCATTGCAACACCTCTAAAATATTTTTCTACGCATATGTTTGACCAGAATGTTGTGTTCGATAAAAACAAGGTCAAAAAGAACAACTACTGGAGAACAACTCTAAGATCATCTTAACAAGATAATAGGTCGGAGACTTTAATATTTTGCTTCTGCTCTTATGCAGTACCTATCTAGTTCAGGTGGTTTTAACGCCTGAAAAGCTAGCTAAACCCCAATTATTGCCAATTCACTAGATTTAGGGTATTTAATACAGAGTAAGACACTAAGAATGTTTATTGTACCACCTTATAACTAATATGATCCCTTATCAACAACACTTTTCATTTTTCATGCTATTCAAAGAAGAAAATCTGACATTATTTACCAAAACAAATTATTAGTGTTTTTTATTTCACAGGGCTGGATCAAACATCACTGTTTCAAACCTTCCAGGAAATAACAAAGCATTGGAAACTCATTTTAAACTACCTGATGAGCACCAAGAAACATACAGTTTATTTTCAGATGTGAATTATACAGATACTTGGTCAAATATAGATTATTTCATTAAGTATAGAACCAGTTATACTTTGAAAAAATACGGATCGTGGGGAAAGGTAATATTGTAAAATTGAAATGTATTTTAAACAAAAAATGAATGAACGTATGAAGAACTTCTAGTAGTTATGGCGCCACCGTGTTTGGATACCAGGTCGAAAATCGCTTGTTTTAAAGCCATACCTTAACAGGTCCGGTTGTTGGTTTGATTGTTGTATGTAGTTTATAAAATGCAAAATATTATTAGCCAGGATTTTCGGTCCCATGTTTATTGCATTTTTTTATGGAATCAACTCTAAATATTGACGATTGCAAATCTAAATCATTCTGTTTGATTCGTTATAAAAATTTTAGGTCGGTCATGATCAAGCGAGCAGATTATGAATATGTGTTTTTAACTAAGTACATTAAATTAGAAACATCCAGTCTAAAAGCTGTTGTAGCAAGTAAAATATTTACTTGAAACATTGAGTTGCGATTGCCTCCAATAACTTTTACATTGCAAACATCCTACTAGTTCTTCATACAACGATAATATAATATGTTAATATGACTATTCTAGACCAGCAGTATTTACTTTGAGTTACTTTTAATTCCGAAATTTTAGTACGCTACTGAATGAAACGTTCGTCTTTATATCTATTTTTGTTTAGACGACCTGCTAGCTATTTACTTTTAAAACATCGACGAATGTACTGACAAAAGGCTCACGAAACAAAATATCCTTTTTTCCAGATTTCCACTGAAGACAAGCAGAACTTATTGGGAGATATCGAAGTAGAGTGGAACGGAGATCGGTTCAACAACTTCGCGAATTTGAAAAGGTCTGAGGAAACATTAGACTTGATTTACAAATTAAAAACCCCCAAGTTCGCCGAGAAAAGATTTCTAGTTACGGAAATTAAGTATAAATCATTGGGCGATCGTCATAATTTAACGTGAGTATAAATGACACGAATTTTTGATGGGAATTACGCTTTTAGAGCGATCGATATTGAATGTTATTCATTCTTTTTGTTCCCAAATTAGAAACGCTATCAATCTTAGCGAATACAGTAGATATATATCAATATGTTTCACTCTAATAATGCAGGCGAGAGGCTGAAAAATATACTGATATAGGTTCATTGCAATGTTGTGTAATTTCGTGATATAGGTATTTAGCGATGGGGATACTACCAATTAGCCGAAATACAATACACAATAACAGTTTATGTGCTATAGAGCCCAAGCAATAAAGCGTTCAGAATAGGGTTTACCTGTGAAAAATTAGAATGTTGGTTCACTTCGATGTCCTGATGATTCCCTTTCATTTTCTTCCAGTCTATTTGGCTTGCATTTTTTTAGGGGTGGTTTTTAAAAAGAACTTTGTATTTGAAGCACTGCCCAAACTTTTAGTATGAAATGAAAAATTCCAGTCCAGTCTTCATCTAGAGCAGCCATACTTAACCTGTGTTCCGCGGGCCGCATGTGGGCCTCCAAGCTTTTTTTGCGGCCCGAAACGCTATTAGAAATAAAGTGCTTTTTAAAACAATAAGTTTCTGTGTTTAAAATCTTAAGTGAAATGCCCGTAAGCATTCATCGGTCGCTGCGCTAAATATCACGCTAATTTTTAAATAAACGTTTGAATCATAGGGTTACTGCTCCACTTTGGGCATTTTCGAGTTAAGTACACTTTCGTCTCCAAAATAGCTCAAATAATATACGACATAAACAAGACAATTATAAACGAAGTATATATTAAGGTGATTACAGCACCCCTTATAATTTTCGGACAATGATATCTCAAAAAGTAATCTTTTTAAAAAATTAAAATTCTGGCAAACTAAATTAGGCAATAGTATTTAGAATATGCATATATTTTAAAGTTTTAAACTCTAAAAATGTGAGTTATCTTGTTTTTGCAGTAACCTGATGGGATCTATTTTTGGCTTGTGTTTATTTATTGGAGGTTCCCACTAACTAATTTTAAATGGATGGCCTAAATAAAGGGTGATCATTCAAAAATATTCCTACCCGTGGTCAAGATAGCAAACATACGTATGTGACCCGAAGGAAAAAAAGGTTGAGTATGGCTGATATAGAGGATATTTTGACAAAAACACTCGCGACAATATACCCTAGTATTTATAGTTTCCCTCTTGAGCATTCCGAAGGGAAGGCCACGTATTTCATTTCGTTAGCAATGAGACGAACGGATGATTTTATTGAATTTTTTAAAAAACCGCGTTACACCGAAATAAATGTAGAGCCCTGAAATTCTGGTATATTTAAATAAATGCTTAATCCGAATTTTAATCGAATGGTATGCTAGTTTACTTCGCTTATACACAACATATTTCTGTCTGAACTTTTGTTCAAGATTTATCGCAAAAAATTTTTGAATCAGTTTTTCAGTATTACCGAAGCATTTTTTTAAATATACCTATAAAATTTTTGCACTTTACGACAATTTCTAATTTTTCCAAATTTCTTGACCTACGACTTCGTCTCAGTAATACAGTAGTCGCATTAAAAAAGCACAACTATACTAAGTTTCTTATTGATTGTCAGGAAGCATTTTTTCTAATCGATTTTCAAGGGAAATTATAAATGTAACAAAATAGCGGTAACTTTGATAAAATTTACAAACATCAGCCGATATTGAGGGACTAATTGTCAAGATATCGACTCAAACAAAAAAAGAATTTATTCAGGGATAATGCAGTTGTTGATATATTTTAATACGACCATCCGTTTGGCTCGCGAAATGAAAGTAGTGCAAAATATGGGGTCGTGGCCTTCAAAGACAACATATGCCTCTCTAGAGAGTGAATTATACATATTAGGCTAGTACTTTCATGGGGTATTTTGTCACAAATATCCTCTAAATGAAGAATGGACAAGAATTTTTAGTTTCTGATTAGCTGTTTGCGTAGCGTTTTCAAAAAGGACATTTAAAAAAATGTAAACCAGATAGCCCGGGAACAATTGAAAAGAGACCATCAGGACATTGAATTAAATACTAATCTTTAGCTTTCTTCTAATTTTTCACAGGGAAATTAACTCTTATCTCCTGGCCTAATAATAAAAATTGTTTAATAGTTTTATAGAAAAAATTTAGCTTTAAAAATAAAAACGGAAATTGTTAAAAACAATTAAATAGTAATAATGAAAGTTTTAAAGGTTATAAAAATTATATTTACCTGGAAATAAACGAATAATAATAAATAAACTGATAAAAAGTAAAAATCAACCTATAACCAATTATGTTCGAAAAAATTATTTGGAATTTATCGAATTCACCCACACTTTCCCAATAAATTATGAAGCTCATAAGTACTAGAATATTTATTTTTCCTGGTATTTCGATAAATTTTTCGCCAATAGCTATTAAAATATTTACCAGATAAAATATTTCATTGTATTTTCCGTCAACAAATAACCGAAGCATCCCATTCAGTAAGAACGTGTTGAAAAACTTCTCGTTTGAACGCAACAAAAACCTGAATATTATACCACACCATTGAAAAATTCAGGAATCTGCTGAATACATACCGCACAGCGGCGGATCTGTGAGAGGACACTCGCATTAGGGATACTTTAGGTGTTAGGTTGTGACAAAAAACCGTAAGCAATGAAACGTTAATTTTACAAAAACTTTTTGTTCGTATAGTTTAATTAACGCTCATTGTTAAATATCTCCACCTATAGAAGGTATTTAACAAATCTCTGGACCAACATTAAAACAATTAATAGTATAAAGGTAAAAGCACATCTTATTCATTACCAGCTACTCATCTTTTAACGCCATTTTCTGTACTTAAAAATTAACAATATCGAATACCTGTAGCAATAGAAACAAAGTATCATTAATTAATATTCCACAGATATTTCAGTTCAAAGTACCAAGTGGTATTATGGTATGTGATACGGTCCAAAATAATCTGAAATAAAGTATTAAAACTAGATCAGAAAGTTTATAACATTACAATACAGCCATATAAAGGTATAATAGAACAAATAGAAGAGCCATAAGTGGCAGGTACGATTCATATCTACACTGACGGTTCTAAAACAAAATAAGACTTAGGATATGGAATATACTCCAGATTCTTAAACCTAAATATAAAATGGGCTGTGAGCAATAGTGCCAGTGTAGTTCACATTCCGGTTAAACCGATTCCGGTTAAACCGATTCCGGTTAAACCGGTTACGTTTAAACCGGTTATGGTTAAACCGGTTACGTTCTTTAACGGTTTTTTGGTCCTACGGAACCGGTTAACCGGTCACGGTTACCAGCGTTAATTTAAAGTGCAAATGTAATTTTTAAAAATATGTTTAACAATAACCGATGATTATACAACGAGGTTTACAGTGTAAACTAAGATTTTATTTTAACTGCCTATTGTCCGGCCCACTCTATATATATTATATTTAATTTAAATTAACGTTAATATTGTATGTATATTTACCAAAATGTTATAACTTTCCGTTACATAACAACGTAAACAAATATTAAAATATAGTTAATTAACTAATATTAAAATAACGTTTATTTTTAGTTAAAAATATAAACCAAACGTTTAAGTTTTCCGATACAATAACGGTTTTATTACGACTTTTATATAAGTTAAACTAACGTTACTATTAAACCTATATTAAACAAAATTTTCAACTCTCGGTAGAGCCACAATTACATAACAACGTTTTAAAATGATAATTAAAATATACTTAAATAAACGTTAGAAGATACGAGTAGACGAACGTTTTCTATAGGACATGTATTTTATTTAAACTAACGTTAATAATATACGTATATTTAACAAAACTATTGACTTTTAGTTACATAGAAACGTTTAAAAATAATATTAAAATATAGTTAATTAATTAATATTAAAATTTTCAACGAATAACGTTTTTTATACCGTACAACGTTATATTTACGTTGAAAAAACGAGGGTGTGTTCATTGGGTTCATTATATGTTAATGTCAAATAACCTAATGTAATTCTGACCTAATCCTGACTTAATACTAATAATCAAAGTAAATCTTTTTATCATAAAAGTCAAATTTTTAACATAAAACCATGTTTAGTTTTACAAAAATGTTTAGTGCCAAAAAATATTTTTATTGAAGGTTAAGAAGCGCACTATATTTTTTACTAAAAACTTATGTCCGATAATGCTTTTTTTACATTTTTATCCCTATCTCGTTCCTAAAACGTCACTGCATTTCCTCCATATTATTGGAAAATAATGTTAGGACCTGTATTCCAGATGTGAAGCATTTTCGCCCGAAGATCGATCAATTGCATATGCTACAGTGGATTATAAAGAATTGGCCAATATGAATGGAATGTTCAATATTTCCGTTCCGCAGAGAGCCTCGAACTACACTGGGGCATACTTCAGAACAAAGACCAATGCGTGAGTATTTTGCATTCATTTGTTTGCATTCTTATTATTTGTTAAATCTGGTGTTACGCCGAATGACGAAATTCAGGAAGGAATTAGAAGTAACTTTTAGGTTTAATTAAAATTAACTTATAAATACCTACAAATTTACACAATACACAAAAAATTCGTATTTTTTTACATTTCTACATAAATTTAAGTGGTTTTCATTATGCCAGTTTCGGTTTTCAATGTAATTTGACAGTTTTATGTGACGTAAGATATAAAAACTATTGTATAATTTAACTACTGCCTACTATGCATAAAAAACATCCCTTACGTCTTTAAATCTATCAGCGAGAAAAATCTCAACCCCCATTGATGGCAAATTTAAGTCTAACCATTCTACCAAGTAGGCAATATTTTAGCTAAACATTGACCCATCGGTAATAAAAGTTTTACTACTCTCAAACCCGACTCAAGGAGGGAAAGCCGTGTGTATAATCTAAAAACCAATAAAATGAAAAGATTTACGGTACGTAAATATCAACTGTAATTTCTTCATTCAGCAAAAACCACAAAAAAGATTTAATACTATTGTGTGAGAGGTTTACAGTAAAATAAAACTAGCTTTGGGAAAAATATCTACGATATGGCAAGAAATTTTTAAAGTTACAAAAAATATAGTGGACCAGCTAGATCTAGGGATTAGCACAAAATTTCTTATTGATCGTATTCTACAATTAAGCAGAACAAATTACAAAAATGAATTACCCTGTAAAAGTGTTCATGTATGTGATACAATTAATCACAAACAATAACTGACGATATAATCAATTTTGAGATTTTATCTGGGAAATGTATTTCGAAAAGTAACGTGTAATTTATTGGAATTTTAAAAAAACGACAAAAAGTCATTAATATTCATCGACACGACGGCAAAAGTTAATTAACGTTTTTTGTAATTTTTTTCGGTACAAAAAAAACTAATGCACAAATGGAAAGATTATGTCGAGGTACAATGTTTTTAATGGGAAAATTTTTATAACATTTTTAATCCTTCACTTCCATTCCGAAATATGAAAGTCATTTTTCAAAATATTGCTAATATAGATAATAAAGTCTACTAACGAAACACTAAATCCGACCAACAAAATTGTAGCGGACATTTCTATTTTGAACATACCGCATATTGCGGCTAAATTTCACCACGTCAAATCTCTGCTTTGATCTCAGTTGTTTCGTGTGAAGCAAAGTATCAGAAATTGCGCCGTTCTGTTAAACCAGGATCCATAACATTCATATACATTTACGTGGCGAAATAGAATAAATTTAGGTAATTAAAACATGTCCAACGTAGATAATGGGAATATCCAATTAGAAAAGCATTTTTAGGAATCCGCTGAAAAAATAGAAGAGGAAGACAAATACTTACTAACAGGGGTTAGTAGAGAATCCATTTTAATGTTATTACTAATTGTCTGGATAAAAAGTTATTTTCCAACTAGAAAGAAAGCATCATTAAATAGGACTTGGAGATGGGTTTGCGGCAAATCCTAAAAAGGTCCTCAAGCTACCCCCCTCTCGTCGGCCCTGGAGAGAACAAATCAGCTGATTACGTGGCAATTTCCATAACTAAATGAACTATTTCCTTGATTACACATGTTATGTTATAAATGGGGTGTTAGAAGATCTATTGTGTCTCCTCTTTTCTGAGAGAACAGAGGGATATTCTCGATGCTTATAACGACTATTTCAATCCTGTCTTCCCTAAGAAGTGTAGGAATTGGAGTGACTCCAAGCTGAGCAAATTGTCCCCTTCTATTTAATATGGTTCCAATTATATTGTCGTTGAATTCTGTTCACTCACTATCTTCTACTTGTTCAAATATACGAGTACTAAGGTGTTCTTTGAGATGGAAATACCCGGTAGCCTGTTCTTGTTCAGACAGATACATGCTTTCGATCTTTTTCTAATTGTAGTGATCCAGAAGTACCTTGGCCAGTATTTAGCCCCAAAAGAACGTTACATTTGTTGGTTCTTCTAATTATATTTTAATCTCTCCCAATATTGTTTTGCTCAAAATGGCTCAGGTCCCACAAGGAGTATTTGAGTCTCTCACCCGTATGCATAGTCGATCGCCAAGGAATCTTCAGGATTTCACCGTTCGCTACGCTGTAAACTCTGCTCGTGTTAAAGCCCCAACCTTCGACGGAAAGATGTCATGGACCAACTACCTTAAACAGTTCGAGACAGCTGCGAGAGCAAACGAATGGTCTGAGAGAGAAAAGGCAGTGAATCTGACAATCGCCCTTCGAGGAGACGCTTTAGATGTCCTTCAGACTAAACCCGTGAAAGAGACAGATGATTTTGAACAACTCAAAAAGAGACTCAACATGCGATATGGCCACGAACACTTGGAGCAGGTGTACCGATTACAGTTGAAGAATCGCAAACAGAAACATGACGAGAGCCTTCAAGAATTCGAATTAGATATTGTGAAGATGGTGCGATTTGTCTACCCGTCAGCTACGGAATACATGATTGAATGTTTGGCTGTTCAAGCATTTGTATATGGACTTCGTGACCATGAAATGCAAAGAACACTTCGTTTAGCCCGTCACAAAACATTGGTCGATGTCTTGTCCGCTGCTCTTGAATATGAAGCGGCTACGTTGGCTTCTGGTAGATACAGTGAAGTAAGGACTGTACAAGAAGAAAAACAGGGAAGCAAATTTGACCAATTGTTTCACATAATAAAAAACCTTATTGAGAAGCAACCGAAGGCTATTAGGTGCTGGAATTGCGGTGAAATGGGAAAGTAAGCAGTTCGCGCAAACGTCCAAAGAACACTACGAATCGAAAAACCGTGGCGGTGGCTGTACAGGAAGGAACGGTGTTACCTGAAAGTAGTGAAACCATACGAGTAAGACGGTTGCAAGGAACTGTAGAGAAGGCAACGCCTGTCATGGCGGAACCTTCGAAGCGCAATAAAGGTATTGGTCAAGGAACTCTGATTGGAAAGGGGTTGGCCACATCTGTTAAAGAAGTTACAGTACGAAGAACGTCGGTTGTCAGCGATGAGTGGGCCCCTGTCAAACTTAGGGAAGAACAAGAGAACGATCCCGTTTTAAAGAAGATAAGAGAATGAAAAGAGAAAAATCGTCGACCTACTTGGCAAGAAGTATCTAAATTCTCTCCAGTAGTTAAATCATATTGGGCCCAGTGGGACTCCTTCATCCTGGAAGACGGCTTATTAAAGCGAGTACTTGCAAATCATGATGGTTCCGAGAACAGGAAACAGTTGGTCATTCCAAGGAGTAGAGTATCCGAAGTACTTCGTCAGTTACACGACAGTCCATCAGGAGGACATCTCGGTGTTAGGAAAACCTTCAGAGAGTTCGGGAAAGGTTTTATTGGATGAACAGTTCCGATGATGTAAAGGACTGGTGTAAGAAATGTGCCAGCTGTGCTATGAGTAATGTACCTCAGCGAAAAAGGAAGGCTCTCATGAAGCAATACAACGTTTGAGAGGATCGCCTTAGATATTGATGGACCATTCTCCATGACCAAGAATGGTAATAAATACATATTGGTGATTATGGATTATTTCACGAAGTGGGTGGAAGTCTACACCATTTCAAATCAAGAGGTCGCAACTGTTGCAGACGTGTTGATAAAAGAGTTTATCTGTCGATTTGGAGTGCACTTGGAGATCCACAGTGACCAAGGCAGACATTTTGAAAGCCAGCTCTCCCGTGTAATCTGTGACAGACTGGGCATGAAGAAAACCGAAATTACAGTATTGCACCCACAATCCAATGGAATGGTAGAGAGAATGAATAAGACCATTGGAAAATATCTGTCAAAAGTGGTTTCAAACCATCAGCGAGATTGGAATCAGTATCTTTCGCTCTTTGCAATGGCTTATAGATCCGCTGTCAATGAATCAACAGGCCAAACACCAGCAAGGGTCCTGTTTGGGCGTGAGATAAGACTACCATGTGACCTCGAGTTTGGATGCCGACCTGGAGAAGATGTAGCTGGTGAAGATTATGTGATCCAGTTACGAAGAAGAATGGACGATATGCATGAATTGGTCCGCTTGCATCTTTAAATCGCTAGCGACAGAATGAAGAAGCGATACGATACCCAAGCCGTGGAAGGATATTTCAAGGTAGGTGACAATGTCTGGCTCTATAACCCAAAAAGACAAAAGAGTTATTCTTCAAAGCTTCAAAGGTCTTGGGAAGGTCCGTACCCCATCAAGAAAAAAATTAATGACGTCATTTGCCGTATAAGTAAGATCCCGAACGGTAAACCAAAGGTAGTGCACCAAAACCGGCTGGCGCCATTTGAGGGTGACCATGAAGTGGATGAAGAAGTAAACCAGCTGCAAGAAACACCTGGCCTTGTCTTTGAAGAATTTATGGGTGCATATAGAGGTACCGGAAAAGCAAGACATGTTGTTATTTCTTAAGTAGGGGGCAGTGTTATGAAATTCCTAAAGCCTACCCTGTGTACGCGCGATCTTGGAAGTCTGCTACTCGATTCATGATCGAAGCAACGCTGACGTGTGAAAACAGCATCTCGAAAATACAAGAAATGACGAAATCGTCTAGGTATGCCGCTGACGCTTCGAGAAACTGCCGTTGAGTCATAGAGATGGAATTTTCGGGAGCACCCAGAAACGACGAGCACAGAATTGGCTTGGTATAAATAGCCGACTCATCGGCGCACAGTTTAGTTTAGAGCATGGTAATGAAAAGTTAAAGTGTAATAAATAAATTAGAATTGTTAGTTAGCGTCTAAGTAATATATAAATTAAATAATACGTCATAAATAAATTGTAAATAGTGTGTTTTAAATAAATAAATTAGACTACCGTCACATTAAATATAGAGGTGTGACGTTTAGGTTAGGTTGAAAATGAGTGGGATGATTTGATCGCCTACCACAGCGACCCAAATGGATATATTGTGGCTCATGACTAACTTATAGTTCACCGTACAAGCCGCATCTTTTCAGGGTGATATTAAATTGAAGAATAAATCCATGCTACAGTAAAAACAAAAATTATTTTTTTAGTAATTTGTGACTCACCCTGTAACCAATAATAATTTATAAATATAACATGATTTTACTGCCTTTTATCTAAAAATAGAAATGAACTTTCACATTACTTTTCTTCGCAGTGTAAATGGATTCTACGCGTATCAAAGAGGTATAAATAATACAAAATGTCTAGATTAGCACCATTGCCTAAAAGGATCGATGTGATATTGGTAACCCTGTAAAGTGAGGGTGATCAAATCATTTTTTTTCGCACTTTTGACTACGAAACTTTTAAAACTCTCTATGTTATATGCATTATTGAGTTTTTAACATGAAACGGAAATGTTTTTTCATCTATGAACCCTTTTATCGACAGTCACCTTTGAACTTTTAAATTTTCAATATATATCAGCGCACATGAAATATCAAGTATTTTTGTGCGTTAAAAAGCCTAACACTTTTTAAAAACTGGTCATGAGCTTCATTTGAAATTTAAAAGCATTTTAAAATATAGAGAGTTACTATGTATGAAATTTTGATAATTGGCAAAAATATGCTTTATATTTTTATTATGTCGGTTAGAGTTTTTTAAATTGTATCACATAATGTATCTTTTTATGCCATTAAATAATCATGGAATAGTTCCGCCGACAACTGCATGCATCGGCGCTATAAACAAAAATCTAAATAAAACTATACTACCTAACAATTCTTAGCACATAGACATTAGAAAAATTGGAATTGTGTTGGAAAATATTTGTTGCTATTCTCCAGTTCCACAAGACGAAAGAAAATAGGTATACTGCATTTTCTTTTTCCTTAAACATTCTTTTTGAAAAAAACTTAAGTTTCTCTGCTTCCCTTGCTGTTGTAGCATTACAGTAGCAGATGAATATGGTGAAGAAGTAGTCTGATTACGATAGTAGAGTTTATTAGTATTATCAATCATTATTATCAGTGTTTCATAACTTTTAGAAGAATAATTATTATTCCAAAGCTGGTTAATTTCTAAATTCTACACGTACTTATCTACTAAAAATATATTGGGTAGTTAGTAGGTAAGTTCTCTATAATGTAATTCTGAATTAGTTGACATACCTATTCCTCATTGCCATATAATTACGTCTGTTATTGTTACAGCAATCCAAGGTGATGAGTTTATCTTAGGAAATTCAGTTTATGCATTTACTAAAATCAACAGCCTTACATTTTGCTAAAATGCATTACCTATGCAATCGATATTTACAGCCAGTCAATCTTATTTTCCGTCAGGTTTTAATTGATTTGATGTATTATTAAAACATATTGACTACACGTTGGCATCTCTATAAACGTGAGAATATTGAATTAGTCCAAGAGAAATCACGTATGTGAGTATCTGAAACTATTTCGCTGCATTTTTTTATCAGAATTCTTTAAAATATGCCATGTGGTAATGTGGACCTATTTTATTTAAAACAAAATTGTTTAAATATTATTTTTAAACAAGATATTTTGTTTTTGATAATCTTTAATTTAATACAAATAAAAAGGGACTTTTAAATTTTTTGATGAGCGTAATATTTTAGGAAATAGGTATTAATAATGTTTTAAAATTTTTATTTTGATTGATTATATATCTGTAAAAATTAGTAATGGTTGAATAATTTGAAAATTAGGAAACAAATCTCAAAAATCCCCCTTCAAATTATTAAGACTATCCCCAAACCCCAAAGGTGAAAAAAAAGCATGTCGTGGATGGTCTAGTGCAGCGTTACTCAAAGTGTGGTCCGCGGAGCCCTGGGGCTCCGCAAGGCCTCTGTGGGGGCTCCGCGAAGAAAATAATAGTCATAATAAAAAAAGCAGTACTATCGCTAGCAACGGGAGGGACTTAAGGCCTTTTTTTAGAGTTACTAAGAGGAAGGAGGATATGATTTTGCTCGGAGGACCTTCTTCTTTTTTTTTTAGAAGTAACCAAGAGAAAGGAGGATATGCTTTTGCTTGGAGGTCTTTTTTTGTGGAGGCTCCACAAAGAAACGGGAGGGACCTGGCTCGAGGCCTTTTTTTTGGAAATGTGTTTGGGACTCCGTCAAATATTTCGCTGTTCAAAAAGGTTCCGTCACCACTGGTCTAGTGGAAGGAGCACTTGTCTAACAAACAAGGATGTTTGGGTTCGATCCCCGCTGCGAAGTATTTGTTTTACCTTTGAGGTTCGGGATGGTCTTAATAATTCGTAGGGGGTTTTTGAGATTTGTTTCCGAATTTTTAAATTATTCATTATCTTATTTCAGATATTTCCGACGAATTTTAATTAGTAATGGGTCACTCACCGATCGTGGGTGGTAATCCCGTCTGGCTGAAAAAAAAAATAATTGTTTTTTTTCAGCAATTTCAACTTACAAATTTTTTTTAATAATTAATCGTACTAAATATGGGGCGCTTTGTCCATATTTCTCGTACATCGAGCGCCCGACGCTTTTTTCACAATAATACCAGCATTTTCCATTTATTATTGTTTTAAGCTTATTTGAAAAATTATTTTTAACTTTTTAGTTTGATATGCTCTAAAAGCGTGTTTTTTAGTTTTTTTAAACTATATTTATTTTTCACTTTTTAGTTCGATGTATTATAAAAGCGTGTCTTTTAGTTTTTCAAACTATATTTATTTTTTACTTTTTAGTTCGATTAATTATTAAAAAAAAATTTTGTAAGTTATGTATGTTGTTTCATTTAATACAGTGATCACCAGAAGTTGTGGTTTAGTGCGTTTAAAAATAGGAGTAACCCCCTATACTATACTGTTTTTTTTTTAATTTCAGCAACGCTTACAATCGATACATCAAGGTATTTTGGGATGGTGATAATGCACTTTTAGACAGCAAGTGTGACGTTAAAACAGGGCCTACTTTGTTGGATCGCAACACGAAGGGTAAATTAATCATTGAATTACCCCTGACTACGAGACATATTGCCTTGGTTGACTATGATTATAATGTAAGTACCTCTATATCGAATTTGGATTTGCTCTTTGCTCCGCAAATTTCCGTACGCGAAGATATAACGCAAATGGAAACTGGATTGACATGTGGTTAATATTTTATTCAATTTTGAATTAGTGCACGTGGGACCTACAAGAATGTTACTTACGTTGTGTTGACACACAAATATATTTTAAAAATTAACGCTGTAGGTAGTCGTAGGATAAATTTGACAGAAAAAAAAAGAAGTATTACGTGAGCTCAAATGGGAGGAAAGGATACCATAAAATCTCACCAAATCTCATTTAAAGAAAGGGGTGGTCAATAAAAATCTTACTTAAACTTTTTAATTCAGAGAATATATTTACATTGTTATGACTAAATAACATTTTTTATCACAAAATCAATCCGGGGCTAGACAATAATAACTATTGTTTACATTGAGAGAAAACTTTATTTACCAATAATATTTTGTAAAACGTTTATTTAGCTTGTCCCGAAATAAAATTTTTTAAAATACTAATAAAAAGAAAACGACAAGTATTAAAAATTATTACATTAAATTAATAATTAAATAAAACTGAATTTTTCTGAGGTTATAATGTTAAACAATATCTATGATTTTTTGAATTCAATAGATGATTATTTGTATACATTTAGAATAGAGTTTTTAATTAACGGAACTACAGGTAATAAAAATACATTAATTAAATAATAAATTAAACTGAATTTGTCAGAGGTTATATTGTTAAACATGAAGTCCATGATTTGAAGTTTAAAAATACCCTACAATGATGACAGATTCCAGTCTTCTAATAACGTTTCCATGACAATTTAAAACCCATTTAATTAAAATAATAAACTTTATTTGTACGAGAGTGTCACTTTTAAAACTGAAAAATAAATTAAATATGGCTCAAAGCGAAGTGACGTGATGATTTTAATAAACACATAAATATTAGTATGAAATTAAAATAAAATATTATTAATATCAAGAAATTTTTTTGTCAAAGTACAAATACACTTTTTTATTTCTGGTGAATAAATTTGTTTTCTAGTATATCACTTATTTTCCATAAAATATGTAGTACATAGAAGCATAAAAATTAACTCGAGTATTTAGTGGTATAAAAGCAAAATATATGAACATATCAAATAAATTCAAGTAATTATAAATTATAAAGTAAATATCACGTGAGAAGGGGAGAAGAGGATCCACCACATCTTACCAAATCTTATCAAGGGGGATGGGGCGTTTAAATTAAAAAAAAAGCACCTAACGTGATTAATAGATACCCCCTTGTCTATATTAAAAAATGTTTAGTTAAACCTTACCCTCCAGGTACTAACCGAAGTCGTCGCTGTTTAACTGTAGATATTGTAAAACCGTAATCTGATAAGCTCAGTTATGTTTAATAGCATTATTGAACAAACAGAGACGGATGGGACCCCTCAGAACGGCGCGGGAAGTCAATTGAAACGCCACTGCGCCGGTTTAGCAAAACAAGGAAAAACATGAAGTTCTATTTTTCTTATTAATAACTTTAACACAAATTATGTTACAATATTAGATTAAATTTAATTAAGACAGTGGGCCATGTGGCCATCTCGAACTTTTCAGATCTATTGTGGATGTCCTTTAATTGTTGTTTAGAGTACCTTGTAAATGTCAACGGCTACAGGTGTTGCCCGGGATTGACGTCGAACAGGCAAACTAATATGTGGGTGTAGATTAGATTAGATTTATTTAGGACTTTTCAGATTTATTGTGGATATCCTTTATCTTTTTTTGGAGTATCTTATCTAATGCAGTCTTTTGTAGTATACTTCATAGACTAGGAACTAGTTCTCCGGAGTAGCTAGTTGCCCTTGGTTTTTCTTCTCCAAGTGTAAGGATTCTAAGTCTTGATAGACCTTCGCAGTAGCCCAATACGTGTTCTGCAGTTTCTTCCTTTTTCTGACACTGTCGGCATAAGGTATCTTCTGTCAAACCGATATTATACATATGTTTGTCAAGCCTACAATGCCCTGTTAATAGACCTACTAGCACTCAATTTTTCCTATTATGGCTTAGTAGATGCTCGGTGAGATTAGGCGATTGTATTTTTAAGAACTCTTTGGCCTGTCTCTGTCCTGGTGACTTTTTTTCACCATTCCTAAGATTTTTTAAACATCCACTGCTTTGTGCATGTTCTGATCGCTGTCTTTGTGACATCACAGAAGGGTTCTGGGCCAATAAGAGCCGTTCGGGTTAGTAAATCAGCCTCTTCTTTGCTTTTATGTCCTCTGTGGGTTGATACCCAGGCTCAGGTTAGTCTGGTTGACTACCCAACTCTGTTGGAGCTTTCAGACAGTCCCACACAAGCTTTGAGTGTACCAGACTAGGTGCTTTTCAGGTCGCTTATCTATATGGTAATGGTTTTACCATTTACCTTATGTCTTAATACCTCTTTTGTGAAATAATGTATTGCTACTATTTCTGCCTGGAAAACTGTACTGGCTTAGTACTATATGTACCTACTCACTTTCATTGGTTTTGGAGTCGTCTGTATACCAGGTGAATTCTACGTAAATAGGTCTACTTGTCCATGTTTTCCTGTTTGGCATACTTACTTTATATTGCTTTTGAATAGCTATTTGTATTACTAGGGAGGAAAGTGCCACTTTTCCTCCCGCAGGATGAAGTTTACTGCCCGACGCGAAGCGGAGGGCAGTAAACACCCAAGGGAGGAAAAGTGGCACTTTCCTCCCAAGTAATACATATGATTTTTCCGCCTCCCTCAAATAACAAGTCATTTTTTAATAATTTATTTATGAAACTAATAAACAAAATTTATTAAAGAACTAAAATTATGAAGTAGGTATAGTATAAATTATAGGCATGTTATTTTCATTCTTGCATCCTACATATTTTTAATTTGTGGTAGAGTAATTATTTTTCTGAGTAAGTACGAATATGCTTTTCTTCGGCCCATTGTAGATATATTATAGCGTAACACACTTTAAAACTGATCTGTCAATCGACCATAGCATGATATAATATTTCTGTCCTAAATTCGAAAATCGGATGAATCTATGAATTGAAGTCAAATTATTAATGTAAAAATCGTTAAATTAAAATAACAATTTACTGATTTTTACTATTTTGCAAAATACAGGGTGTTCTATAAATAAACGGTAAAATTCATACTTATATAATAGAATATAGTTTAGGTCATCAATAAGCTATTTCATTTATGACATACCATGACGTCACTTTTACTTTTCCTCCCTAGGGAGTAAAAGTACTTTTCCTCCCTAGGGAGGAAAAGTATGACTTTGCTCCCTGCAATGAGGTCAGGAAATGTATACTTTGGATAGAGGTAGGCGGAAAAAGCATTTCGTCTGAAGGCATTACTTGGTCGTTCTCCAACTCTTTATATAGCTCACTATAGTCACGTCAATGCAAACTGCTTAGGGACGATGGATCTTTGTGCAGTCTCTATGTGACAGATTTAACTTCGCCTTAAATAAATATAGTGGTATTAAAATTAGGTTAAGCATGACTTCTAAAGCTGCTGTTACAGTCGTTCTCATGGCTTCCATGATACTCAGGCATTCTTGCCTTTAAATACTGTTGAGCTGTCAAATAAATCCAGCTTGCCGAGTCTTTGGTTATCATACCACCGACCCGTAGATTATCATAGGCCTTATGAATCTGGTATATAGCCATAGGGATATTTTCAGTTGTAGTCCCCAATTTTTCCTCCCAAACTTCGACAAAAGTTAAAGGATGTTGTGCTCCTCTAGGTGACTTTTGCAGGTACTGATTTCTTGTTAACCTGTGGTCAAAGATGACTCCCAAATATTTGGCCTTTTGAGCAAATGTAATCTTCACTCTTTTCATTACTGGTCACTTAAGTCATATCAATATTTTACGTTTTGAAAAGTTGACTACTGTGATTTTGTGAGGGTTTACTGTTAGTTCCTTTTCTCTGCTGCACTCGTCAACGATGTTTAGAGCGGTTTGAGTGCAATCTGATATTGTACCAGCGAACTCACCTCTTATGACGATCGTCAGGTCATAGGCATACCCTATGCAGTAGAAATCTGCAGATATCAGACTTTTTATGAGTTCATCCTCTAAAACTCACCAAAGGAGGAGTGATAGTACTCCTCCCTGGCGACAGCTGCTACTTGTTACAATAACTTAAATTGTTAGAAAAATATCTCTCGGTCTTCCGGTGGGCCCATCCGCCCCTGTAAACAAATATGTTTTGATTAAACATACTTGATTTCAGAGATGTACTTTTGAATATACCTCAGCTGCTAACACATTTGCATTCAATGTAGACATTTGATTGGTTAATGGAGTTCACTTTTCAAAGCGAGCATAATTTATACATAGGTTACTAATCCTAGCAAGGAATTCTATGAATTATAGAAGATACACTCAATGCTATCAGACAGGTGTATTTAACTTCGAATATAGGTCTTGGTTAGTGATACAGATAAATCCTACTTTAAATCAACATGGTAATAAGAATAAATAGATGTGTGATTGAATTGAACAAAAAACCATTTTACAGCATTTTAAATACCTATATTGCTCATTCCTATCGTGAAAGTAGATCTATATTTTTAATTTAAAGCGTACGAACTTGAATAATTCATCAAAGAGTTGTATTTCATACAATTTTGTTTGTGTTCATTGGTATCCATTGTACATTTTATTTACTTTTTTGCTACTAGCTTTATTCTTTGTTAAAGATGCAATTTGCGATATTACATTTATCTATCGAGACTTTTATTATTTCCCTAGCGAAAAATTCTTAGGTGCTAACTCAATTATGCTTAATTTTTCTTTAATGTACTTATTATCGCACGATTTGAAATAAAAACTTTCGAATTGAGTTAGAAACAAAAAAGGAGAAAAAAGTTCAATTGTCCCGCATTTTCCGAGTTAAAATCCAACGTTTTGAATTTAACTCTTATCTCCTAGACTTCCGTTTCAGTTTCACAAACTTTTAACTCTAATTATCGATAATATCAGGAAAACAGGAAACAGAACAACCAACTCTATTCTTTTTTTTATTTCTCCGACTAGGAAAAAGCGAAACTCAGCGTAGGCCAGGCCACGGTCAATTACAATGGTGATAGAGTCCTGGAGGGAAAATATAACCGGCTGTCACAATCCCAAGCGGGCAAGGATACCGATACGGTCCACGTAGAACTTCATAATGAACTTGTGCCCGTTGGAGCAGATTACATTTACAAACATGAGTATGGAATGCCAGAAGAAGCAACAAGGGTAAGTTCAATTCTTTTTTTTATCTATAAGGACTGATGTTTTATGCATTCGTCAATGAGTTTAAATATTTACTTGGTTTGGAAGCAATAATTGAAGTGGTAATTTTTGAACCCTGCAATAATTAAACCTTATTCTTTATTTAATATTAAATAACATTAAAACGTTCTATACGAGGGGACAGTTGTATGTAGTTAACAAGAAAAGGTTCTTGTAAATAAAATTAAATATAAATATAAAAGGTTATATTCATCTTCTCAAATGTAGTAATAAAATAAATCTACAAAATCTTGTACTGCATACAATTTTATTACAAATGAAAAAGGAGAGCCGGCAACTTCTAGAGCTGCTGTTTGAATCGTTCTCATGGCTCCCGTGGTACCCGGGCATGCTTGGCTTTGAATACCGCTGAGCCGTCGACGTCTTTGACTACCATGCCACCGACCCGTAGGAAATCGTAGGTCTTATGACTGATATATAGCTATGGGGACATTTTCGGTTGCAAAAACATAGAACTTGATGGGCCGTTAAACAGAAACCACTTGACACAAATTATCAAAATCATCGCCCACTATACGTGTTTAATCACAAATGCCTATCTTCACATATTTCGACCAGATCTGGCAACGCCTACAACTATTGGCAGCTTGATGTGCGCGATCAACAGAACTCGAACATTCTCTCATCGACACCGAAGAGATTCACAACAAATTTTTTATGTCATAGTTTATCAACTAAGAATATTAACAAAAACAATAACTTTCAATGTGTTAATATATTGTTTATTTAATAATAAAAATAACAATCTATTTCAATAAGGAAGTTTGGACATTATTTAACCCTCAATTTGGTTGTTACTCCACTCTTAAAGAACTCCTAATACGTCGCCAGTAACCGGGTCTTTGACTGACTAGGAAAGGTAAACAAAACAGCTATCACAGTCCAGCCGTGTGGGACCGGTCAAAATTTGGATGCGTATCGAACTCGTAGAGCTCAAGACGTTGGAATGTATGAATGTATGAAACCCAAGCCTAATTGGGAGAGCCAGAAGCTGGAACCTAAGCCTGTTTGTGGGAAGCCAGGCTAGAACGCAAGTCCAATTGAGGGAAGCCTGCTGAAATCAGAGGGATGTCTAAAAGGTTGTAAAATTCCTAATGGGAATATCACAGTTGTTTTTTGTCCGTTTTAACCAATGCTAAAACTAGAAAGAATATTATTATTTTATTACTGATTTTTGTTATTTAAATTATTCAAATCGAAGTACCATTTGAGATAGATAAAAAATATATATATAGTTTTGAGGAGATTATCATCATGACTGAAAATAGTTATACCGGTTTATTTTACGAACACAATAAAATAAATGATGAGTTACAAATATGAAATTTTAAAAGGTTGCAAATGTGGTAGTTGTATTAAATTCTCGTCACAAATAACTGTCGATTTTTTAATTTTCTAATTGGTTTAAACTTAATCCTGTATATTTTCAAAAATACTGCAGCTTTTACGTCGGTCCTATTAAACCAAAATTCCTCTTAACTCCAAACGGTTTCCGACTTTATTTGCATATATCGTTTTTTTCTTCTCTGTAAATACTTTCACTTTCTCGCTAAACAGTTTACGCGAAAAAGTCATTATTTGAAATTATGTTTTCTCGGTCTGTTTTACTAATTTTCCTGTGAATGTAGTGGCAAAATACAGTAATATAGCGAAATACTTTTCTCTTTGTCCCGCCTTCCTCTGCCTTTAAAAATGCCGTTAATGCTTCCATAATAGTTTTCCGACGAGAAACGCGTTTTTCCCATTGGCGTACCAGGCTTTATTTCTAGAAGAGGTTTTATAAGTTGGAATTTAATATTTGATCATAGTAAAAAGGTAATACGAATGGTGATGGGACCAAAGCTGATTCTTGAGGTACTCCTTCATTCATCTTATAGAACTCTTCTAGATCGGTAATAGCAATAATGTTGGGTCTAAAGTGATTAATCTTGTAGAAGTCTTTCAAAGCATATACTAACATGATGACTCATTCCATATTTTCTGTTATGGGTTAATTTGAAGTTCTAGTTATTTGAAAAACTGAATTTAGATGTACTTTTTAAGATTTTGCTGATGGAAAAAATAAGCAACACGCGTGAGATTTCGAAAAAGAAAAAAAATTATTATTTCGTTCATATATCGTTGAATATTAATTTAAAATTTATAGGAAACAATGACAAAAATGATAGAGATTTATGAAAACCAAAAGCTCACATTATTATTAAATTCCATTTACTAATTAATGTAATTACTAGAAAATTATGATAAATCTATTGAAATTCAGTTCAACCCAACTGGCCAATGTAATGATGAACATTTATGTTCATTCTAAAGTTTTATATAGGTATTATAAATATAGCTCGGGAGCCAGTGAATATTTTTGGGAATTTATTTATTTATTTCGGTGAGTCTGGTAATGCTTCGGTGATGTTAAATAACAGCCATACTTATTTATTTCTTAATTTTGAAATAATATTTCTATAATACAAGACTCTCCAGATTACTTTTTTATTAACTTTTATAATATTGTTCTACTAATATTTTCATTAATGCAAAAGTATGTTTAATATAATATTGGAATTTAATCCAACATAAATCAATAACCTGACATTTTGTGGATTGAAAAGAATCATATTAATATTATTACAGACTCACTGCAAATATAAGTACTAAAAATATACGCTGGCTAACGGGCTATTATATCATTATTTGCGAATTAGAAGCTCCTGTCGATAAATCAGCAAAATATAATAATAATAATAATAATAATAATAATAATAATAATGGAATTATAGAACTGTGTTGCAAGAACCATTCTGTCAGTCACAAGAATACATAAATGGTCCTTTTCACAAAAAAGGATGAAAAGTGGACTCTAAAGCTCTTAAATACAAAACGAAACTCTTCAACAGATGTGAAGTACCTAGGTCTCACGTTTGATAGTAAGTTAATATTGAACTAATATCTAGAAAATGGAATCAAAAATTGTTTATATAGAATGTTGCCGAATCGTAAGGCGCACCTGGGGTCTCTGCCCCAGAGTCGTCACATGGATTACCACGGCCATCATAAAATCTAGGCCAATATACCTTAAGATGGATCAAAGATCACGTCATATTAAAAGGTAACCGTCTTGCTGATTCTCTATCCAAGAAGGCAACTAACTAAATACTTTTTGGATCTGGCCCTTTTATTGAACTGACAACATCGGTAGTGACGAACCTAATTAAAGGACATTCCCTTGTAAAATTCAAAGAAAGATGGGACGGAACAAGAAGCTGCAGATTTTAAGTTATCCCGACAACACTACAGCAAACAAATATTTGCCTATGACTAGACAGAGTCTGCACATGATCACAGGCATTCTGACTGGTCATTGCCAAGTACAGAAGCATCTCCATGTCATGGGACTGTCAGAATCCGCACTCTGCAGAGGGTGCGAACAAGAATATGAGACCATCGAGCATATCCTTTACGATTGCTTGACGCTCTCATTTATTAGAAGATTTGTGTTCGGCGAGTATCGGCTAACACCGGCCGATATAAGAGAAGCACCTCTTGGCGACGTTGTCAACTACATTAAATCTGTAGGCTGGCTCACGAGCTAAGAGGTGCCTATTATCTTAGGAGAATACAGAATAGGCCTAATGAGGCCTAAGTGCCGTGGGGGTAACCCACCCTCCACACGGTACAGATACAGATCCCTGCTCACAGAATCTGCACTCATTTTCTTCCACTAGTCCAGATTGCCTAATGTAACCTACTGCATTTTCTAATTAGCAATTTATTTCAGTGTTCTTAGCATACAGGTAATGTTAAATAGTTACTTCATTTATTTTAATGTAACATCGGTATCTTGGACGATTTCTTTCTGAACTAAATACAAGTATAAAGATAAAGATAACGTTTACTTTTATATTTCTCGTTCATGATGTACATACCTAAATAAAAATTCTCATGAATTCCTATTTTCTGCAACTCATTGTACATAAAGGTTAGTGTTTTTATATGTCGACTCAGAGAAAGTCGGCTTTAGACATTCTCCAAAGTTTAAAACTTACTACTGCGAAAGTTTTATATATAGATATAGATATATAAATATATGTATCATCCTGTACTTGGTTTTTGTTGAGAACGTAGGTAATATCTACATTAAAGTTTCCAGGGTTTTTAGTAAACATTTAAATTGGAAGTCAACTCCCAACAACACATAAAGGAAATGAAATAGCTGTTTCTTATTTTTGTTTCACTGGTGTTTCTGTGGCGGCATATGCTTACTGCTTGTTTACGATATAACTTTAATTAGAGTACAAATATTGTAATCTTTAATGCTTAATGTATATTAATTCGTTTTCAAATGGACGTACTTAAGGTATACCAATAAGGATGGAAAATGTGTAATAAGATATAAACCTATAAATCTGGAAATATATCTGTTTTACTATTTGCTCATACGAAGAAGATTTTACAGAAAAACCTTTACTACTTTAATATGAGTATTATACAAAAGAGGCTAAATTCTGCTATTATATTCAATTTTTGAAATATGACAAACCATAGTTTTGCCTTAGATTTCTTTTATTTCTAACTATATTTAAATATAAATAAGAACATTCGGAAGATTTGTTCTGTAAAAGTAAAATCTGTAATTACGTTCTTATGGTACAGGGTACAGCTTAAAATTTGTTAATAAGTATTAGGATTTAATTTGTTCACTAGACCAATCAATTCTGAACGTTATTTTGAATATCAAGTCAATCATCAGTATCTAGAATTAATGAGAAATGATCAGCGTTTAATTGAGTTTTAGATAAATTAAAAGCAACAAAAGGATTGAAATCGGATTTGGGTAACCGATCTTTGGGGTACCCCACATGCTGTTAATATACATATAATATTTTGTATTAAATAGCAGAATGTAACTAGAATGAAAATATATAATGCTTGGCATTCTATATTATACT